TCCTGTGGGCTGGATAGCCAGCCACGGAAAGGGTGTACCCACACAATCAGGGTGTGGGGACCTACAGGTCACCTTTCTTAAGAAAGCATGTGGAAATCTTGCAGTGTGCATAGTTTTGACACAGTACATCTATCCCACAAGCTTTGGGAACAGAATGGGATCTCGCCCTACAGACTCATAGCACAGCTAAGCTATGACATGACTGCTCCCACCCGCCCCACCAGATGTCTAAAGTTTTCTCCATTAAACTCTTTGATACAACTTGTACATAAAAGTTAACTTTTGCTACTAGCAACGCCAAAACAGATAGAAAGTGAGTTTTCAAGAAGTTCTTGCTCATCATTTCTTTAAAGAATATGTTTAGAAAAGATCTGAAATTGTGGTCTTATAGACTTTACTCCCTCCCAAGGTGCCCCAACATTTTTTACCTCTTTCTACCACCTCTTTTCTTGTTCTGTACAGAGAATGAGCCCTCTGAGACCATACAAGTCAATTCCACCTGTAATGAAGATTGGCTAGCAGTGACTTTCAATGTGGGCATAAAAATTAAGTGCTAATTATTAGGCAATACTCTTGTCAGTAGCAATAACAGAAATAGTTTTTTACAACACTATACAGAGAAATATGCAAAATACAAGAAATACGAAATATAAAGAATCATAGCTTCCCACTTGCATTTATATAAGATTGTGTTTTCCTCTTGTGCATATTTCAAAGTATTTTACAGATAATTATTTAAAATTCTGTACACATGCTGCCCAGCTGAAGACTGAATACTATTCCATGAGTAAATATGATGACACTGAGCTTTGCAAAGTCAGAAAGAAAGATTTAGCAGGGACCAGAGGAGACCACTTTGCTGTTTTCCCAAAATTAAGATTGTTTCTACCTGTTAATAAAGTACTAATTCTAGTCTACCACTTCAATTGCAAAGTCTTTGTTTGTGCTGCCACTGCCTTTTGCAAGGTTCCCTTCTTCCACTCATTCCACCTGGCAGAAACTCCAAGTTTTAATCAAAGAGAATGAAACAGAACTAACCAGATTGAATTCTGCTGGATGTGCAGAGGGAAGTGAAAGTATTCAGAAAAGGATGAACTGAGGAAAAATAAAGCAAGCAGCAATGGCAGAAATAGATGAGTAAGAAAATGACACTTTCTTCATGTGCCCCACTGCTCATCGTTGAGTAACCACATCGTATCGGTGCTCTTGCTTCCCTGCACTTACTTCCACCAGTGTCCATCTCCATCCCTACTGCACACTGTTCATCTTTAAATTCCTTTGATATTGCCCAAAAGTTTAACTTTCAGAATGTGCCAAGCAGAAGATACTGACATTACAAGTACACACTGGACTAACACGCTCACATGTACAGTTCGGGTCTCTCTAAAATATAATTAGACCAAAAACTTTTCCAAGTATTTTCATACTGCCAGACTGGCAGTGTTTTGTATAAATCTTTCTTCAGGTCTGAAATAAAAACAGTAACTTGTGAACTACAAATTAGCTGAGAACAATTGTTTTGAAATTAGTTTGATTTTGTTCATCAACAATTAGAGACAAAGTAGCTCTAAGTGTCAAATGGCTGGATGTCGGAAGGGTGAATGTGGTGAAGCACCTCCTTTGGGTTAGTCACAGAACAGTGCCTGTACCTCCATAAGGAGGTGACATGAACACCTACCAACCAAGTCTCAGGTACAACCCAAGATTGGTCAAATTCTACTGTCTTCAAAGTCATCAGTAAGACACACCTTAATAGAAGCCAGCATCCTCTTCTATTGTAGTCAAACAGCACTACATTTTGTTTCCTATTATGAATTATCTTACCTAAACCAAATGCATACAGCTTTCTAAATGGCAGAATTATTGAAGAACTGGTAGCAGGACACATCATCCTTGCTCCATTTCAACCTTTCCTCAGCAAGAAGCACTATTGCAACACTATAGTTTAATCTTTTTCAACTCTCTCACCCCTACCTGAATTTCAGATAAAGAAAAATCTTGCAGGAACAACTGTCTCTCAGATCCTTCACTGATTTGTATGAACCTTGCAACATTTAGTACCAGTATACATTCTTTAAATCTCTAATATCATATATTTTTGATAAATACTGAATCACTTAACTATAGCAGAATTAAGTGCTGTTTCAGAGGAGATATCCATTACATCAACTGCAACAGAAACAACATAAGCCATGAAAGCCTGTTGGTGGTACTGAACACTGTGACTGCTGCTATTTTAAGTAATGCTATTTTACTTGAATTTAGCCTTCATATGCAGCAAGGATATAGTGATAGACTACAAACCATCATCACAGCTAAACACACAGCAAAGTGACAGTTCAAATGTTACAGATACCTGCAATTTCTAAGTAGTAGCAGTGCAACTTTGCAGTACATTAGAGGAGCAACTGTCAATCAACCAAAGCTCAAAAAAAAAAAAAAATAATGCATGTCATGGACAACAGACAGAAGTTATTTAAGAATGAAATATGCCAGGAATTGCATCCATTCTTTTTGTCATCTGTATTCTCAGATTCAGTAACAACAAAAGGTGTGGAATAAAATTCTAAACATAAATGACTGAGCCAAAATGCTTTTAAGATATAGAACTGAGCTCAAATTTATTCATACCTCACTGTAAGCTTCCCTCCCACAGAAGAAGTGATTCAGCTTTCCTCTCCTGTGTCTCTCAGGTGGATGCTGAAGTACACAAGCAAAAGCAGCTTAGGACTGTTAAACTGATCCTTTCCTGCCATCTAGGGGACACAAACTGATGTGCAGAGGACTGTCTTCAGTTACATACAGGGAAACTTTCTACACAAAATGCTTATCTCTACCCAGCAAAACAAAAATCAACTTCACTGAAAGTAACACACCTACCAAGAAAAAAGAAAGGATTGTCTGTCATCCCAGAAAGTGAGGAAGTCAGAAAAAGCCTGATTGTTTCACACCTGATATTATGAAAATTTAGCTTAGAAACTCAGAACTTGATTTCCAATACACCATTAATGTGAAGCCTCAAGTCTCCTGCCTGCATGGTGGGCACACAGTGTATAAACACCATGCACCTTTCTAGTGCACTACCCTCTAGGAAGCAAAACAGAAACACTCAGTGTTGACAGCTCATCAAGGTAATTTTGGAAAAACTTAAAAGCTTTTCCAAGATGCAAGTTTCTATTGGCAGTGTTGGCATTGTTGTCAGGTTTCTCATACTTGCTCTCCTCACTGTTGCCTTCTGGGGTCTTTCACAAGGCAGACTCTAAAAAAGGAAGGAGCAAACTCAGCTAAACACTAAGCATAGTCAAATGCACAGGCAAAAATCCATACAAGTTTTTTCTCACTCTTTTGTTTGGATTTGTTTTGTTCTTACTTTGAAAGGGAACAGTACACTAAAACAAACTCCCTTCACTAAAACAAACAAAGATCCACGCTTCCCATGGCTGAAACGATGTGACAGTCTCTTTAGGATCAAAGCTGAAGCCTCTCCCGAGATGAAAAGAAGGAGGTGTCCAGCCAAGTAGTTTTGTGAACTGGCTACAGCTGCACATGATGCAGGCCCCAAGTTTGCCCCAGTGAACAGACTGGAGATGAAATTAAAATGACAATGCTACCCTTGTGAGATACCTATTCACCAAAGAGTACTCACAAACGAGAAACCCCTCAAATTTAACAGAACAACTCAATTTTATTTTGACAACAAATATTTTGAGCAGCTGCACCCAAGTCCTCTCCCCCTTACTGTTTGCAGTGTGTTTAAAGAGCTGGAAAAGAATCGCTCGTTTGGGGATACTGAAGCTCTTTACCACCTACACAAGAAAGTACAAAAAAACCCAAAACAAACAAATAAAAAGCCACGTGCTAATGCATTTATGGCAGTACAATAAAAATCTGCATATGACATCTTAATTTCTTGAACTTCAGCTGATTAACATTGTTCTTTAGGGAACAGCACATTAAATACAGAATATTTTCAAAGGGTAAAACTACCTGCAACATATTTAATATATTCAAACTAGTAAACATTATGCAGTATTTGGCAATGCAGTATTCTAAGGCACACCTTTAAAAATTATTTTAATCAAATCACTTCTGGTTTAACAGGCACTGAAGTTATTAAAAACAGACCTCCAAAAATCCCACATCAGGCCTTTTTAAAAGAAAAAACCAAAACAAATCACAGCAACAATGCTGTGAACAAACTGATATTATCAATGGAAAACTGTAGTATAAAATGAAGTTATTGGGTGATCAAAATCATAGCAATTGTCAAGAATGTTTCATTTTTTTTCAAGATATTCAAAGGTTTTAAGTGCCATGAAATTAAAAAAAAAAAACCTTTTCATTATTCTGATATTTTAAGGTCTACAATCTGACCATTTCCTCCTAATGAAAGTTATATGTATTCCCTCAGGTGAGACTGGATTTAGTAATCAAATTATAGATTTATAAATGGTTTTAACCAGAAGGCATTAAATACAAAATTGTGCCTTTTTTTTAAACAATCAAAGGGCTATACATCCAGATAGTACTCTTCATAAGTATTCAGGACTACATTTTGAATTACATAAAAATAAACCTGAAAACAAATCTAAATTGTAAACTTAAATTAAATCACCAAGCAAGAAACATCATTCATATTTTTATTTTATTTTTTCATTTCTAATTTGCTTCCCTAAGAAAAAAAACACCTAATTTTCACACATTAGAACAGCTAAACATCAGAGTAAGCTGCTTTAATATCACAGTTTAACCTTGCTTTGCATTCATCCTTTTTTTATGCACTTTTCACTGATTTTAATTATTTTCTGAGTTTTCTGACTTGATACTCAACAGCCGTTCTCCTAAATGTGACTTTTGCTAACCAGCAATAATATACAACTTCATTCAACCAATCACATTTCCACATGTATTCAAAATCTTCTTTTTAACACTTATAACAACACATTTGTTGATACTTTTAAAATTTCATTAAGTTTTGTTCAAATAAAAATGGAAGCAAATTAAAATTTACAAAGCTTAAAATTTTATTAAGGAAAAATCCGTGTGCTTGAATTATCAAAACAAGATTTAACAAAAACATTTTGTCATTAAAGGCCTACACAAAATGGTTCTGGTAACCAGCCTCCATGTGGCTTCTAGGCATGCAGAAGTACAGAATGGTGCTTTTGGAAGGCCTGCCAAGCATTTATGCAGGGTAGGTATCTGACTGCTGCTGCACTTCACCAGGAATTAGGTGTCCACTATTGGTTTTGGTTTGGGTTTTTTGTGGTTTTTTTTTTTTTAATCCTCATATGGCTTTTTGGGTGTTTAGTGGTTAGGGTTTTTTGATGCTTAATGTTCTCAATAACCTTCATGTCTTTACATTATCTTGATAGATCTAACTTCATTCCCTTCCAATTGAATTAAGAATTACTTGGTCTACTTTTTCACCACCTGCTTTTCAAATTTCAGGTGAAGGAATCTAACTCAAACACCGTCAAAAGTTCTCTGCTTGTGCAAATAAGACTAAAACCAAAAATTAAGGCAAAATAATTTCTCTGCAAAAAATCTAAAAACATATGTGATAGTAGGTAAATAAATGTCAAGATTAGCTTCACTCTGAAGTCTACAGATGCAGCACCATGGTATTGTTTTATTTGTTTATAAATCTGGCTTCCCTTTTGATTTTGCATTCATTTAGAAAACAGCATTCTCACTAAAAGGTGAGGAAGGCTCATGTATACAAAATTTAAAACTTTAACAGTGTACAGCAAGTCTACACATAACATTGGCTGCTGTGATTCCAAACTGAATTACTGAGAGATTTATTTTTAAAAAGGTATTCAAGTTCTAAATAATTACACTATCACTTGATAAAATTTTAATCCACTGTACAGAGATGTATTTTCAAGTAAAAGAATCATATCCTAGAACTACACACCAGAGAAACTGAGACTGAAACAAATTTATTTTTAAGGCAGAAGTTCCACTGTATACCAGGTTAAAAGCCACCACAATATTAACTATAGTTAACTCATTAAGGATTTAAAAATTTGCATTCATAACTATTAATTCCAGTGCTGGCTAGAATTCTACTGATGTTCTGGGAAGTCCAGCTGGAGATATGGTTATCCTTAGAGGTTAAGGCTATGGCAGAGTGAAGTTAACCTAATCACTACTTTTAATTATTAAATAAACTGTGCTCATTTATGTTAGTAAGTTATACAAACTATTTAGAAAGAGGAAGTATGAAATACTGACAATGACAAAACAGCTTTTAAAAGGCTATCATCGAAAAAGTTAGAATACATACTCAGAGGAGTTTCAATGCCTAAAAACAGATTCACATATGACATATGTTCATCCACTTGAAGATTAGTGTATTAAAAAAAGTTAAGAAAATACTTTTGTGTTTCAGTTCAACTGCGCTTGATTCAAGCACAGCTTAGGAGTTGGCTGATATAAATTAAACATGGTCACTGCCTCAGCAGCCAAAAGTACAGAAAAATGTACATGTTCACAGGATAAATAGAAGTCTCTTCTTTTGGAGGAATAAAAAAAAAAAAAGTAAAAAAGCTATCTCACTCCAATACGGGAGGTCATCCACTCCAAGCCTTGGCATAACCTGAAAGATAAGAGATGTTATTGGTACTAGTTCTATCCCAACACCTTGAAAGTATTTTCTGGTTGATTTAATGCGTAAAAACATCTACTTAAAAAAATTAAATCAACTGGAAATAGGACTGAAAGTTGAACAGAGTAAGCAGTGTTTTTAAACTAAGTCTATAGGCTTTAATCACAAGAAAATGGTCATGCATTCTATTTTATTGAAGCTTGGCAGTACTTAAATTTTTTTTCCTTGTAAATCTTAGAGACACTACTCTTAAATGCTAACTCATAAGTACATGGAACCAAATAAGTTTTTCTTCTTCTACAGATTTCCTGTGAAAGACTACTTATATGAAAGCTAGACTTTTACATACTAACTAAAAGACAAAGGGCAGGTTATCCAGACTGAATTGTTTAATGAAAAGGTAGTATATCAAGAATTCCAAAATCACATTACAAAATTAAAAGTATGTTTATATTGAATAATAAGACTGCATGGGATCTAATTTGCTTACTAACTAAATCTGCATCTTCATTTAAAAGACTTCAATTTTAGAACACTGGCCTTCCTTTGCTTTTCTAGGGAACTAGTTACCTTGCTTTGTGCCCCTAAGCTTTACCTTTGCAAAGTAAATCATGACTTAGCTATCCAAGAGCGCTAACTTCACTCACACAGGGCTAATCTCCCCAGACTTCGGTCAGATCTTTCCAAGGAAGACTCAGCTCAACAGTCTAACTCTGGGATTTATTTTTTTATATGTTGGTCTTACTACTGTCACAGTTTAAAGCATTCTAAATATTCTGAGTTTTTTACAATAAGAAAGAAGTAGTCTATGATGGCCACTGTTTCTAAACTAAAATTCGTATTTATTAATTATTACTTTCCTTCAAATGTCAAATTAGTTGAAGATCTTAGTACATAAGCTGAGTATTGAAAAGTGACTTTAGCAAAACTGGTAGAATGAAAGCAGAATTAACTTTTAGAATGAAACAATACTCAACTCTTAGAATGAAACAGACTCGAAGAAAAAAACAGTTTGTCCTCACTAACACATCCCACTCTAAGGAAGTTAATGCCACCATTCACTCTTCAAGATATCTCCATTACGTTAGAAAATGGAGATTTTACGTTAGAAAACTTCATACTACAAAGTGAGGAAGGTGCTTTCACTTCTCTAATACTCAGTTGGATTCACTATTTTTAATGTCACAAGACTACATTATTATAAAGGCTGCACAACACAGCTGAAAAAAACCTCTGAATATCACACATTATAAGAGTGCTTTAAAAAATCAAGATGAAAAATTAGCACATTTCACACCTACAAGCAAGGCACTATTCAACTTGTTTTGTTAAAAGGCATCCAAAATTGTTTTTTGATCTTCACAGACGAGATCTAAGGAAATCTCAGCTTCCCATTTTAGTAATTGCTGGTATAAGGTATTCAAATTTAAAAATTAGCTACATTAGCCAGATATAGACAAAGTGTTAAATATTGATAACAATTTTGGCTTTTGATAGATCTATATACCTTTTCATCAAAACTATGTTTCAATGCTTATCAAAAAACCCATTCAACCAAAAAAAACCCAACCCAATCACCAACTTAGAAGCTTCCTACAGATTAGAATGTAAAGGAAGAAAACAGTAGTTTATTTCTTGAAATACACCAAGACACACACGATAAAAGAGCAGTGCACAGAAAGTAGACAGTTATGCCAACAGCTATGTATTTGGGTCAGAGTGTTGTTTGGTTTCTGTTTTGGGGTTTTTAACAATAAACTGAAAGACTTTCACATGAACTTGGACTCTGAGCTATGAAAAAACCCACAAAGTTCAATTAAAAAAATATGAAAAATTCAGAATACCCCTCTTGACTGTAAAGAACAGAAAATATGTTCTTTCAGAAAATCCACACTGGCATCAAGAGGATTCTCAATCAGTATTTTCATTTGCCACAAATTGCTGTACTAAGCAGTAAGCATTTACCCTTCTCCTGTCAAAGCACAACAGGATTGAATGTGCCACGGGTGATCCTTTATGGAGCTGAGGGTGAGGTATGTCGATATCTCAGCAGCCGTCATGCAGCCTTTCATGTCCTGCTTGTTTGCAAAGATGAGAACTGCAGCCTTCCGTAAATCCTAGAAATGGTTTAGAGTACTCATAACTGTTATTATGAAAAACTAAAATGCTATTGTGCTAACTTTATTTCTTAAAAGAACTGTATTCAAGCTAATCTACAATTACACAGGAGCATGGAGTTTTAACCACTTTCTGTAGTAAAAATTCATTACATTAAGACTGAAGAAACTAATTTATTCAGTTCTTCACCACAGAGGATCAAATTGTAATGTATTATATGACTATCCTTTTGGTGTTGGTCACATGTTCATATATAACTAATGGAAGTCTTGTTAAAATATATTTCATAATGCTTCAAACCATCCAGCCAGCAGACATATTACTGGCAAACATTTCAAACTCTACAACACACACTATTCAAATGGAAAAGCCTGCTAGATATCATTCCCTTTAAATTGCTTTCAACGTCATTAAACAAGTTCTGTAGTGATTAAAACAGTAACAGATTAGGAAAGCTACCTGAATTCTTGTAAATTTAATCCTGGTGTTCCAAAAAGGGAGCTGTAACAATGTTGCAGCAGCTTTAGAAACCAGTTAAAAATTGCTTTGTTTCAGTGTGGAATTTAGGATTCCAAACAGCACTGAGATAAGAGCTGGGATGTATGGCTTTAGAAGTGCAGAAGGGTAAACAAATGCAATACTCAGAAAGCTGACAGATGCAATTGAAAGTGTCCAATACATTTCAATGTATATTAAATCTGGGACTATTTCTTCATCAAGAGGAAGAAAAACAACAAAGTTTTATGATCTAAAGCTGCATATTCACTCCTACAAGTAGTCCAGGCTAGGCCTACCAACTGTTTTCATGAGATGGTAGATCACAATTTCGTAAGAGTTTAAGACTGGAAACTAATAAACTACATGAGAAAACTTCACCACAAGAAGCCATCCTCCCAACCTGTTTTGGTAGCTTATTCGCTTCTTACTACCAGACCCAAACTACTTTAATATAAAACTGTAAAGCAAAAACTCACTTATGTGAAACAAACCAAGTTTCTCAGAGAGATAAACTGAGCAGAATTACTTGTACTGTACTAAATGCTTTTCTTTCATTTCAAAAATGAGGGAGAACATTTAGATTTAAAACAAGCTTAATTTAGCTTGAGAGTGATCACAGAAGGTTTTAATGTACTTTAGCTAATCCAATGTAGATGTTAATTTAGAAAGTTGGAGGGAGTTGACTCAACATTGAACAACCCAAATAAAAGTACAAACAAAATAATCCATAAGGAAAATGAACTGAAATTAATTTATCCATAGTGTTATATACGCTCCTTAATTTTAAGGAACAGGATTAAAACAAACAAGAAAAAGTGCGAAATTCCACTTTTCTAAAATAAAAATTAAAAAAAAAAGTTTCTTGAAATTTTAACCATTTAACTAAAAGGAGACTCTGGTAGAAGACAATAATTCCTTTTTAAGCTAATACAAAGCATAAGATATTTTACAAGTTCAACATTTGCAAAGTAAAGATTTCTCTCTAACAGAGAGTGCTTCATAATAATTTTTCTGCTTGTTTATAGTTTATGTGGTTTTAAAATGTGACCAACATGCATGCATATTTATTCTCAGATTTTTTTTGTGACAGTATAATTTTTGTTAGCACAGGAAGCATGTAAAGTTATTTGACTGTTCTCAACAAAACTATTATCCCAACTCCCCACCATACCTCATGAGCCAGCATTCTATAAAGTTCTTCTTTTGTAATAGAAAGTCGCTCTCTATCAATGCTGTCAACAACCAGAATGATGAACTAGGGAAAAAACCCAACAGTAGAGCATGTAAGTACAAAGTATAAATTATAGAAAGCACATTTTCAAGAGATCACGAACCACAAGTCTTCCTCTAGAAGAGACATACACTTGTAGAGGACACTAGAAAAAAGTTTTATTATTACAGTCTTTTGCTAGAGCTGTGGGATGATAGCACCTGAAGATGATAGCTAAAAAAAAAACAAAACCACCTAACAATCTCATTCTAGCACATTTCAGCATTAAGATCTACCTACGTGTACTATGGCTAAATCTCCTTCATGGATTTTCAGGCCATATATCACACTCAAAATAGGTATGTTAGTACCAAAAAGCACCTACAGATAACAGATTGTGGATGTGGATGACAAATGTGCTACACATATCATCAATGAAAACAGCTGCTACTGTCCACTACTACTTGCATACTCAGGAAAGTATAAAACTGAAATTGAAGTTATGTATTTTTAAAGAAGCATATTTTACTTTACAGTTCAGCATCATCTCGCTCACAAGGCTTAAGAAAGATTATTTCAAAGTAGTAGGTCAAATGTCAGAAAGCTGTGTACCTGTAGGGCTTAGCATTTTGTTGATGCACATTTCACGTTTACAAGTGCAAAAGTGTACCTGTGCATTTGGCTTCTCACAACTTTGCACCCTTCAACCTTTTGGTGAAGCCCTTCCAGGCTGTTGGAGATGGCTGTAGCAGTCATTTTACCCTTACTATTCCTGCCAGGCACATTATTCTTACAGTCATGCACTTGTGGACTCTGAGACACTGCTAGGTCTGGTACATCAGGCCTCCCATGGGAAGCAATTGCCACGGGTATGAAAATTACTGTCTATTACCCCACTCTTTCTGCTCCTTGTTTGGTACCTTCTATTTTATAGCCTTGCACTTGAGAGGTAAAAGACAGCATTATGCAGTAGGTAACAGTCAAGCAAATGCTCGTAAGCATTACACAACAGTGTTTGCACACAAACCATAACAACTGATCAACACTTCAACACTTGCCCTGCCCAGTGTGCTCCGAGCAGTGCTAACAGCATCATGGGGGGACAATGCGTAGGGAGACCAAGAACCTTCTGATGAAAATTATGCAGATACTATAATAACAATAAAATAAATTGCAAGGGGCATATGCTGCACTGGAGAGAAAACCATGAAGATTACATTCATCTGACAGACTCCACTACTTCTATGCCCAGATGACAGTACTTCTCCACCCTTTTTCTCCTTTACTGTAACTCTTTGTTCACCCACAAACCCAGTAACTTAACCACGGGACCATGGAAGCTCCCTCCCCTTTTCTGTCCTCCCAAATTATCTTTAAGCCTCTCTCAACATCCTCTCTGTAAGAATATGATCTGACACTTGAAACAGAATAGCAGAACTAGCCATATTAACTTGAAACTAATTAGGACAGGTATGCGCTAAAATGTTTATTTGTGGGACTTTTACATTACCCCAAAGATTTTGTGTAGATTGTTCTAATTGGCACACAAGGAAAGGGAGAAAAGAGAGACAATAACAAAAAAGGAGAATTAGAAATCACTGCTATAAGTCTCCAACATATGCTCCAAATCACTTTGCCTTAGAAAATTAAAGAGATTCATTAGCCATTGGGAATGGCCACAAAGAATGAAAAACTAAGTCAATTTAATGCTGCTGTGACTTCAAGATGCCTAGCAGATGAGGAGGAACAGTAAAGGAATTATTCATATCAGGGAGGCTAGGATTGGCATACTAAACAGATCTCTTTTCTTCCTCAACTGTTTCCAGCAGACAAAGCTTCTAAGTAAAAGGGAAGTTCTTCTTTCCAAGTACTAAAAGGCACTGGGTTTCAAACACTTACTAGCCAGAATGTGATGAAGAACATCCCAAAAGTATCAGAAAAAGAAGTAATATATGCATCTCTCCAAATTCCAAAATCAAAGATACTCAAGGGACAAAAGCCAAGAACTTACTGCTCTGTAGCAGATAATGCTGGTAGAAGTGTCTTCAACCTCATGTGTGTCTTAGATGTAGCTATAATTTTCCAGATAAAATGAAAAATTAGTTTAAAATACTAGAGATGAAAGCTGAGATGTCGTCAGCAGGCTTTCAGCAGATCTAGGATGGATTGCTAAACTCAACTCTCTCCAAGAGAAGCATAAAAAAGAAAAATCTCATTTTACAGGAGGATGGAATACTTACATAATGAACAGATCACTGCTTTTAGCAGAAACTGTAAGAAATGAAGTCTAAAATAGTTTACAACAATGTAGATGTCTCAGAATGAGTCCTCAGAGATTATATGTGCATTTTGTATTGATAACCTTTTGGCAGCAAAAAGGCTGGCATAAAAAACAAACCCCCCAAAAGACAACTGACGCTGAATTCCAACCTTTCCAGCAATGGTAGTTTTGCCAGTATCTCATGAGTATTGCAAAGCTAGACTTTCCTTTACCCTTGGATAAACGCCACAAGCTGGTGGGGTTTTTAAATAATGCTGCCTAGAGAAAGTATCATTCTTCATCCTTAACTGTCATTATCTCAAAAACATTTCAGACTAGATGTACAGAAGTCAGGTTGACCACTGCTAATCCTCACTAAATTTGCAAATTACAAGCAAAATTGTCATTTTAATCACCTTAAAAAACCACATAAGAAATCTGATCTGAAATGGTATTGATATCATTTACTGCCTAGGAAAAAAAGTCTAATTTCATGGTTTATATCACAGATCAAACAACATCACTGCAAAGTAAACAGGAAAAATACTTCAAAGATTACCAGAGAATTGGTTGCATACCAGAGATACCTCACACTTTTTGGGTTTGTTCTTGCTCAGTAGGATTTGAAAACAATACAGCTGCAATCTTTATAAAAATGTACCAATATTCCTAATAAATAAATAAATATAATTTCTAACAAACCTGCAAAGCAGCTTCTCATACCTCTGTGTTTGAATAATAGGTATTCCACGATGACCGTAATGATTCTTGTCCTCCAATATCCCACATTAGGAAATGAGTGTTTTTCACCACTATTTCTTCTACATTGCTTCCTATGGTTGGAGAAGTATGAACCACCTCATTCATTAAACTAAAGGAAACAATATCACACAAAGCACCAATCAGTAAAATCCACAAGGCTTGTTACAGCTTAGTTATAATAAACTTGTTCTAGAAAAAGTAAATATGTGTAACAGATTAAAAAAATATTAAAAACCAGGTATATTTTAAAAAAGCTATAAATTTGAAATTTATGGAAAGCAGTGACTGTAGACATGCTTAAAGACATCAGCAATGAAAAATAAGCACATAAAAGACATAACAAATGGATAAGCATCTGCATTTTAGGAGGATTCTCTCCTTAAAGGACATTAACAGATACTTAAAATGCACTTGTCTTAAATTAGAAGTAGATATTCTAAAGATCCCAAATATGAGAATGCTGAACTGTGGAAAATATAAATCAGAATATAACTTTATCAGAGCACTCTACTTAGTAACTCAATATTACAACAAATCCCAAAGGACTGTTTTGTTCCATAGCTGAAAATTCCTCAGTTCTACCTTTAAACTTTCTCAAAAATGCTTAGGGGAAAAAAAGTATTTTTGGAAAACATACTCTGCTGCTTTTGTATCAAAATATATGGACAGTAATTTAGCTACATCCTCCCTCTCTTCTACAATAACAATAGTAATTATGGTCCTGCTGACATTCCTAAATTTATCATGGATATTCTTGTAATGCTGGAAAGATTTGGGTGCAATGATGCTATTGAAAATGCCCAAGGTAGAACCTGGGAAAGATGAAATACTATTTTTAGGAATTTTCCATCAAAAATTTTAGACACAGGAATTGGGAAAAATATGGAAATATTTATGGCTTTTTTGCAGAGTGGCTAGAATTTCAATTAATTTAAAAACATTTTCTTGTCTGCAGTTACTGGCAACAGGATTATTTCTAGGCTTACAAATTCAGATGGGCTTTGACGGCAAAAAATTTGCAGTTCACTTTGTGCTTGTATGTTCAATCTTGTTCTTCAATTTACAGTTCAGTTTTAAAGCATGGCAGTTCCTTCTCTTATCCTTTAAATATTTACTCTGTTTAGAACAACTAATACCGTTAATGTACACGCTGTGATCTGGAATCCTAGAGATTCTGCCAGGTTACAAAGCTGAATTTTCAATGATTAAACAGTGACAAATACTAAAATGCAAACAGGAAAACAAAGTAGTTCATGTACTTACAACTGGTAAAGAATAGTAGTCTTTCCAGCATTATCAAGTCCCACTATGATTACTTTGTGTTCTGGATATAAAAAAAAAAAAAAGAAGACAAAAATAAATTACTAGAAACAGCAACAGTTATAATTCTGGTTAATCACTTTCCTTACTGAAGAAAGCAACTGCTTGTTTGCCTTATTTCAACAGCTTACACAGAATAGTACTGACTTCGGGACTGAAAAAAAAGCCAAACAAAACTACAAAGCCTCATCTCTCAAGATTGCAATCTCGGGAAAAGTCAGCACTGGAGATCTTCAGAAAGGAACAGTCACTTCATCAAAAAAATCTAGTTTTAGAAAGAAAAGTACAATGAAAACATCTCATAGCGGCATATCATCTTAAGAACATCACAAAACACCCCAAAACTGAAAAAACATTAGCCTAAGGGTCAAGGCTCAATAACAGCCACTTCTTAAGGGACCACCATTATCCATATTGTAAAATCTAAGAGGAATTTTGAACGGACTGCAAAGTCCAACTTTGCAACTTCTAAATTGAAAGTCATAGAATGACAGAATGGTCAAGACCTAAAGACACTTCTGGAGGTCACCTAGATCAACCCCCTTGCTCAACCAGGGCCACCTGGAGCCAACAGCCTAGGACCATGGCCAGACGGGTTTTGAAAGTATCCATGGATGGAAACTCCACAGTGTCCCTGAACAACCTGTGCCAGTGCTCAGAGTTTCCTGATGTAAAGAGAGAACGTCCTGTGTTTCAGGTTCTGTATTGCCTGGTCCTGTCACTGGGCACCACTGAGACAAGTCTGACTCTGTCCCTTTTCCATCTCTTTTCTCATATGTGAGATGTTCCAGTTCCTTAATCATCTTTGTGGCCCATCACTGGGCTCTCTCCTGTACATCCATTTCTCTCTTGCAGTAAAGAGCCCAGAACTGGACACACTACTCCAGGTAAGGCCTCACCAGTGGAAAGCAGAAAGGAAAGATCACCTCTCTCAACAAAAAAATATTCTTTTAATTTAAAAATAAAATCGCTTTTCCCTGCATCAGACAAACCCAGACCTTCCCTGCTGCAAAGTCCATTTTATAGAATAGTGATCTTCCAATTGCCACAATGATAGTTTTCCCAGGCACAGAGAAACAAAACAGAAAACAAACAAAAAACTCCTTCAGAATTTACATGCTTCTCTGCAAATAATCCTTCTTAGAATTTCAAATCCAGCAGCACAGTTAATTACAATAGTGGTTCTTTTGCTACATGTGTGAAGTTAAAGATACCAATCCACTTACTGACAAAAAAGCAAGCCACTCAAGATCAGCGAATTTGTAAATGGATACTAGAAGTAAAAGTTACTTAACAAACTCTGTGAACAAGCTCACTTTTGAAGAGATAATATTTACAATTCTAGGGCACTTATTCTAAGCAAAACACGGTTCATAGCTTAAAGATTTCCTGTAAAATACCACATTTGATCTCCAAGACTTACAATAAGGTGCTAGAAAATCAGAAGATCTATCATAAATATCAGATTGGTAGGGTTTTGCCTGCAAGTGGGTGGTTTAAGGAAGAATAAAGTGTTTTGTTTTGGTCTTAAAACTACTGATATATAATTACCTGTTCGGGAATTTTAGAAGTTTTGCTATGCAATACCGTCATAACAAATGCTGAAATGTATTTCCTTGTGTCAGTTCCCCTACTACTGCATCCTGTCAACACACTCTGAAGAAAGATCTTTTCCTGGCCTTAAATCCAGTAGTAGTTCTAGCCCCATAAGGCGCAGTGTCAGTAATTAGTAATCTTTCCCAACACATAAATACTACGAAATCCTCTCTGCTTTCAGTGCTGATAAACCATGCCTCATACATAGCTTGACTGTCCATCTCTTCAAATTCAGTCAAAGAGCTTTCAAAGTTCAAACACAGAAATACCCTGTGGTTGTTTTCAAATCAGACGTTGTCAACTATTGCCTGGAAGAAGATGACCCTACTTTAGCAACATTCCGTTTTAAGTTATTTTCAAGGAAGGAAATGAATTCCAGTCAGGCACTACATTGCTCTTTCTCATCTTCACATTACAATACAACGCTTAGGTGTGAATTATTGGAGTGTTGGACGAAACAATATCACCCTACTTAGAGTAATGAAAAAAATTGCCATTGAGATGACTGTTTTTGGAAGCCACCAAAGTGCAAATGGTTTGACATTATTTGGAAAAAAAGGCATTGTGTTACTCCATAGTCAAACAGTAACTGAATAAGCACAAACAAGGAACAGTCACACAGGTGTTAAGTAATGGTGATCTGGGGATAAAAACAATAAGATGGATGCATAGGTATCTCAAGCAGTTTCCACCTTTTATTAATGGCAGTTGCCATTAACACTATAGTAATGGCAAACTCTAGATATAGATATATATATTCTAGATTATTATTCTATAGTTCCATTCTATAGTTCTAGATATAGACCTATAGTAATGGAAAACTCTTCACTTACATTCAAAAGTTGAATTTCTGTCTAGTTTGGTTAAAATACAAAACATTTACACAGAGATGTACATTAGAGGAAAAACATGTGAACTTAAAAACTGCCAAACTAAGAGAGAACAGAATTTTAGCAAGACAAGTACTTGTTTACAAGAGCAACTAGAAGATAGATGCCGCATTTAGGAGAAAGGACAGTCATGGGGTAAACCACAGGCAGTGATTTATTGGTGTTGTGTACTTACAGACTAACCCAGGTTTCTCCCTTTCACTGGCTGGTATTCAAACTCATTTTGGGTTGTATTCATGAATATCTTCCCAGTCCACCATGTTCTTGGCAAAGGAAGAAGAAAATCCATAACAAAGTTGACAGAGTAGAAGAGAAGAGCCTTTATTAATCAGATGGGGGGGAAGTAGAAAAAGTAGGCATGGGGAGGGGAAGACAGTATTAGACTACTTTTTAAAAGAATCCAAAGACTTCTGTTATATCAACCATTCTTAACTCACTGTTAGAAAAAAAAAAAAAAAAGTAGTATTGTTGAAAAAATCTCTGGCAGTCTACTATTACAAAACCACAGGACAGTGAAAATTATCTTCTTGCAGATGTTAGAAGAAAGACATATTATGTTCTTTTTTTTCACTTCCTCATCTATATTTCTCTGTGGTAAAAGGGCCCAAACCTGAAGATTCAATTCTCACAACTTTGACCTTTCCTCTTTTTTGCAAAAATTTTTAAAAAAATTCTAAATACAATAACAGGCTCTTCCAACACACTTAAAAGAAATGGGTACCAGAAAGGATACCAACACTTTTTAGACAAAACATACACATCTACTTTCAAATAGTAAGGATCTTGGAGGCTTCAAAGTTGAATACAGAATTCAGATAGTTTGCTGAAGAGGAGGCAGGAGGAGTAGCATATTTCTAAAGGTCAAAGGGGTTTCAATACAAATACTCAGGCTGCACACTAAAAGCTACCTTAGAGTCTTCTTTAAAGCACAAAAAGAACTGCTCAAATACATCTTTTATCTCCAGACTTGATTACAGGAAAGTAGAGAAACTGTCAACAGCATTTAGTAGTCATTGGAACCAAAATCTATTTGGTTTTCCAGCTAATGGTCTCTTCCAACCTGACTGTACAGTCTGGGAACTGTCAGCAAGCCTAAGTGAAGTGAACTGTGGAGTTCCAGAAGTTCCTTGAATTAAAGTTTACCATTAGTTTTCTTAAAGCAATTTTTACAACTGTAGCAATTATTCTGATCACCCTGAAGACTCAAACAAAACCAGCCACTGTTTAAAAACTAATGACAAACTCAAACTAGAAATGAACCCTTCCAAATGTATCCACAGAGCTAAATAGATATTCCTTCACAGACTGTACTCAGACTGTTAACCTTCCTCTCTTTCATTAGTCATTGACTCATGGATCAGCACAGGTATCACCCAGTTTCCTTAAACTGCTTTGCATTACAGTTTTTCTTATTTCATAATCTCACACACCAGATTTGAAGAGCAGATTGTGCACTGGCCACATAACATTATTTTAACTGTTGCATTTTCTCACCATGAGCCAGTTTGGGTTTGGCAAAATGGGTTACCCATAATCAAAATGGGCTGAACCAACTGGAACAACTTCTATTGCATGTACAGTGACTTGAAACAGAACAGACAGATTCAACTCCCTTGTAGGAATACTGAGATGCTACCCAAGAAACAGGACTAAAACAGCTGAATACAAGTAATAATAAATGCTGCAGGAACAGGTCAATGGATAAACTAGTCAACAGACACTTAGCACAAGAAAGTCTTTACACACATTAGATCCAGCCTCTTGACCTTCCTTGTAGTATCTTCTCCTTACCACTGGAAAAGCAGGTAAGAGAATCAAAACTTGCAAAAGTAGTAAAGAAGATGTGTAAATTAATGAGCAGATATTCACAGCTTTAGTAGGATCTAAGAGTATCTTCATTACAAGGTTTTCCTGCCAGGCAGAAGTCTCTATGAATGAACTCAACTTTATTGCATATCACATGGTTACTGCGACCGCACTGAACCCCAAAGCACAAAAACACAGAGGGTTTATCTTAAGATGTTAGTTATCTTAAGATGTGCATTTTTCAGAAAGCTACACACATATCTTCTTCCCGCAAGTTAACAGCATTAACTCATTGGGAGATATCTCTTTAAAGTTGCCCAGACACTATTGATCAAGTACCTTTCAAATTTGGCATCTTCACCTTGGCTATTATTCACATTTATGTAAAGCAAAACTGCAGTGCATAACTAATAATACTCATGAATTGCCAATGATGCTCTGTTCTGTATTTTCTAGCAGTTATGCACACCTCCTGCCCCATGCTCTACCTCATGGAAACAGAGAGCACTTTCCAAATCTTTGCTCTGTTTAACCTTTAATTTTGCCAGTATCAAACGCTCCAAACTATCAGTACAACTCACAAACCACAGTGAACTGAACCTATCCCTCCTCCCACACTGAAGTCTATTTGCATCTCTGGAATACTTCCTCATTACAGTCAAAATCAATGTGAAAGGTACTGTGCTGGTCTGCTCAACAAGCAGCTTCACAGGACAGCCTATGAATTCCCCAAGGAACTATCTAGATTTGACATAACTAAAAGAGCAATCAAACTCAACTCATAAACTACTACTATCCTTCATTATTAGTAATGATATTATTTAGAGAAAAATGGTTGTGTAATTAGAGCATACTTTCCCATTAGATGGGTCAAAATTTTCTGTTTGAAGCAAACTTTCTAGAACAGAAGTTCAATTTTGGCAATGAAAACAAACTCACTTTCTTTTCTATGGTCACCACAAGAGGGGAAAAAACCAAAACAACAAACACCAAACCAAAGAGAACTCCAGCAACAAAACAAGATCAGAACACACCCCAGAAACTTCTTAATGGGATAAAAGCCAAAGAGCAAATATTTCATGATATCATCTCATCTATCTTAACTGTGAAACAAATTTTCATTAACTTTTTTAATATATGAATGCATTGGGTATGCATGGTGAGTTTTTGATAGTGGGGAAGGCTACAGGGGTGTTTTCTGTGAGAAGCTGCTAGAAGCTTTCCCTACATCTATGGAGCCAGTGCCAGCTGGCTCCAAGATCAAGCCCACCAGAAACAGGAGTAATGCCTCTAGGATAACATATTTAAGATGGGAAAAAGTTACCGCACTGATGCAATTGTGGCCAGAGAAGAGAGGAGTGAAAATACGTGAGTGAGAGAAACAACTCTGCAGACAGCATGGTCAGTGCAGAACAAGGGGTATGAGGTGCTGCAGGTGCCAGAGCAGAGATCCCCCTGCAGCCTGTGGGGAAGACCACGGTGAGGCAACTGCGCCCCTGCAGCCCATGGAGGTCCACAAGGGAGCAGAAATCCACACCCAAGATGTGCAGGACCCCATGCCAGGGCAGGTGGATGTTCAAAGACAGCTGCGACCCCACGGGATGCCCATGTTGGGATCAGTCTCCTTGCAAGGACCCATGGACTCGTAGAGAGGAGTCCACTTTGGAACAGGTTTGCTGGCAGTATTTGTGACCTTATGGGGGATCCATCCTGGAGCAGCCTGTCTATGAAGCACTGTGCCTTGTGGAAGGGACCTGTGCTGGAGCAGCTAGTGAAGAATTGGAGACTGCGGGAAGAACACACAATGGAGAAGCCTGTGGAGGGCTGTTTCCCATGGGAGAGACCCCACACCAGAGCAAGGGAAGGAGTCCTCCCCTTGAGGAGGAAGGAGTGGCAGAGACAATATGTGATGAACTGACCACAGCCTCCATTCCTTATTCCCCTGAACTGCTGCAGGGAGGAGGTAGAGAGAACAGGAAACGAAGTTAACCCTGGGAAAAAAAGGAAGGGACAGGGGAAAGGTGTTCAGAAAGTTTGATTTTATTTCTTATTACCCTATTCTAATTTGATTGGTTATGAACTAAATTAATTTCACAAGTTGAGTCTATTTTGCCCATGACAGTGACTGGTGAGTGATCTCTCCCTATCGTTATCTCGATCCAAGGGACTTGTGTTGTATTTTCTCTCCCCTGCCCAGCTGAGGAGGGGAGCAATAACGTAGTTTTGGTGGGCATCTGGTATCCAGCCACCAAAATGAAGAATAACTTTTCTTGCAGGAAATAATATACAATAACAGAGACAATGTGTTTTCCTGAAGATAAATACTGACATCATAAGGTACCATACAGAACAATACTAAAAGCCACCAGTTATCTCCTGATCAGTTCTTTGCTTATAGATCTCTTCGGAGTCTTTGGAATTCTTCATGGAGGGAAAGGATTTGCAGATTGCATTACCTGATGAAAACCAAACCAGTATTCAGTATTTTTCTGGAGAACAGGGGAAACCTTGAATCTTACCAAATAAATCTGATAGTTCAGAAAAATCAGAAATCAACAACAGCAACAAATTTAGAGGACTGTTAGATGACTTCAGGAATTATGTGGTAGGATAGTGTATGTGGGAGAAAGATGAATGATCTGGGACTGGGATCCCTCCCAATCTCATCCCATGAAAGTTTGATACACAGATGTCAATGTGTACACACACTGAGGCTTTGCTCTGTTATTTACAGAATAAGAACGGGTTATGTGCAAACACAGTAACAAGACTATTAAAGGGATACCAGGTGTTTATGCCTCCAAAAACTTGCAACAGAGCACTGAACAAAAAAGTTCATCTGCATTCTTAGTAACTTTAAAGTGGAAATGAACCATGCATGTGGAAACTTGATGAGAAAACAATTAACATTAAGATCAGTTTGCCTTCTCCAAGCTCAGGCCCTCAAGGAAAAACAATACAAGCGATAAATTCCTTGACTCTTTATTTTCTAACCAAAGAAGGCTAGGTAAACAAAATTCATTAAAACAAATAAATTAACAGATAAACCCTAATTTTCTATTTTTATGATAACCATCTGAGTAAAGTTGATGGCAGCCACAAGTTCTGAGCTCTGGATTAGAGCACGACTGCGGGCCTGAGCTGGAGAGCAGAGAATGGAAAGCAATCCTATCCCCTTATGACCTTTTTGTTCTTGGCTGGAGAAGTGATTTTCTTGGGTCACTAACTGTATTTAACTAGTGTCTTTGCCAAAACACAAACAGATCTTTACCTCGAAGACCCCAACACGTTTCGCGGGTTTCTTTTTTTCCTTTAAACTAAAGACCAAAATAACATGACTTTAATAGGAGACCCCGACTCAAACAAAGAGGGTCTGCAAACACAAACACGACCACCATCATCGTCCATCAAAGCCTGAGCCGCGATCGCGGGTAAAAAACCGGTCCGAGAGGCAGAGCCGTGCCCGCCGAGCGATCCCGGGAGCGCAGCGCCCGAAGGGCCGCCCGGGGCGTTTAACGCGGCCGGGGAGGAGGGGGCGAGGAGGGACCACCTCGGGAACCGAGACAAAGCGACCCCGAGCATGAGGCGCCGCGGCACCAGCGCTCCCGGCGCTGCACAAAGAAAAGCCCAACTTTTGGCTGGGCGGGCCCTCAGGGGAGACCCGGCCAGCGGAGCCGGCCCCGAGCTCCTCCCCGGCTGCCCGCGGCCCCCGCAGCCCCGCGGGCTCCGCTCGCCGTCCCGCAGCCGTACCGGGCCCGCGCGCCCACCTTGGCTACCGAAGAGGCTCCACAGCTTGGCGAAGATCAGGCCCATGCCTGGCCCCGGCTTCCCACCGAGCCCCCTGGACACCCGAGGCTCAGCCAGGCGGCGGCGGCGGCAGCACCAGCAGCAGCTCCACCAGATCCCTCCGGCAGCGGCCCCGGGGCGGCGGGAGTGGGAGGGCGGCGGGAGGGGCGGGCACGCGGCCCCGCCCCGCCAACGGCCGCACGGCGGGGCCGCCCCAGCGCCGGCACGGCGGGCCCGGCACGGCGGCGTCAGCGCGGGGCGGGCCGGGGACAGCGCCGCCGTGGGGCCAGCTGCGAGCAGAGCCTGCGTGTCCTCACGGGGCTGATGAAGGGACCACGGGGCTGCGGCCGGGCACAGTCGGGAGGAGGGAGCCCCCTCACCCGTCAAGGGAGGGGAGCCGCGGTGCACAGCCGGGGAGCCTGTCGTCCAGCCGGGCGGTGCTGTGGCCGGCCCGCGGCCTCTGCCGGTGACAGGGGTTGTGGTTTTCAAGGCTCACAGTTCTCTGTGTGTAGTAAAGCGTGTAAAAACATCTGGGCTCGCTTTCAGTGCTGTACTGCAGGTTCGTGCATACTGGGCTCTTGAGCGGGTACCCGGGTTTTATCACTTAGGAGAGATCAGTAGGAGAGCACGAACCCTGCTCCGCCCTAGACCGAGAATCCACAGGCACTTAGATGCAGGACGGGTGGCAGTACAAAACCTGTTATTATAATCCACTCATTTCAGCTTTTTCAGAGGGAAAACACTAAAAAAAGAAGCGCTCTCAGCAACGTATTGTCTAACAAGCTCGGGTGTCCTCGAGATTCTGGGCCTGTCCTGCTGCCTCCCTCCCTGTCCCGTAGTGGGGAGGGAGCACGGGGGCTGCACTTGCTCCCCGCCGCGGCGTTCCCGGCTCCCATGGCGACTCCGCACAGGCGGGACTTCCTGCGGCCGCCCCGGAGGAGGCGGGACCGGCCCGGGACCGGCGGTAGGTGGGGGCCGGCGGCCTGTCGGGGTCTGCGCGGGAGGGTCGAACGCGGTCCGGCACCGGCACCTGTGTGCTCCTCCCTTCTCGTGGTGCCCCGGCTCTCCCTCGGTGTCCGTCGAGGCTGAGGGGGCGGTGGTGGCGGTGGCACCTCCCGCGTGCCGCTGGGCTGAGGTTCCCCGCAGGGCGGCGAAGAGCTGGGTGTCCCTTCGTGTGTCCTCTCCCACCGTGTGGACGGATGGGGAAATAAAGGAGAGCTCCCCAAATTCTGCTCCCCACAGCAATGAGCTGACTGACTTTTCCTCGTATGTGAAAGGGTGGGGAAGGGAGGTTTGAAAGAGTCGGCATCTCTGGTGCTGACCGCGTTTGACAGCTCGCAGTGTCCCTGTGCGTATTTAGATCAAAGCGCTGGTCTGGCGTCGTGATCCTGGCTGCAGTTTCCTCCACACTGAGGCACAGGGAAATCTGCAAGGAGGTGGTGAATAGGGAGAGGAAGCTCCCTCAAGGGCTTTCTTCTGAAATCTGTCAAGCCGTTGCTGTGTACGGCACAGCAGATCCGGCAAAACAATACCTCTCGCAGGTGTCAAACCTGCCACCTGCTGAACGCTTGAAGTCCAACTCTTGTACTTGGAGGGGCACTAGGCTGTCTCCTTCATCAGCCTGGCTTCCTGCCGTGTCTGAATTTATAAGCCTCTATCCCCTCTCAACTATGTTCCCTAGCCTTGAAGATGGCAAATTGTTTTTCCGTATTTGAAAGCAATTCCCTATATATCATAATCACGCTTTTTCTGAGCTAGATTGCATCTTTTCTGAGAATGACCACGGAAAGGGCACACATACCCTGCTCAAGCTGAAGGTTATGTGGGTGTGCTCTGAACCTCCAGTTGTGTGGTTTTGACATTTCCAGGCAGCTTACAATGGTTGTATTCTTTTGAAGGCTCTTTTTAACTGAGGAATTGCTTTTCATCTGTGTATTGTTCCTCTCCATGAAATAAGCACATCTGGTATTTGGCATTCGAATGAATGTGTTGAGTCCACATACCTTGCAGTTCCTGTGACAGAGGAGCTGTTCTACGGTCACATTTCATAACAGGTTTTATGAACTAGTCACAGTCAAGTCTTAACTTCTCCTTTAAGGCATTCTGTGACTTTCTGAAATGTTCATTAACTCTGGTTAAAAGCACAAATGTGGCATCATGCTTCTGTATGAGTCTACCTGTCTATACTGGGAGAATTGAAATCCCCTTGGTACTATTTTTTCGCATTGACCAATGCCAGAGCCCCCTTCCTGAAACCGTTCTGGGTAATTCCCTCCAGATTATATACTCGGCATAGCATTCTGTGGTGTGGAATATCCCGTTGGTCAGCTCGGGTCGCCTGTCCCAGCTATGCTTCCTCCCAGTTTCTTTTGCATACTTCCTCGCTAGCAGAGCACGAGACAAGAAAAAGGTCCCTTGACTTAGGATAAACACAACTCAGCAAAAAATCAAAACATTTGTGGGTTATCAACACCATTCTCATTCCAAATCCACAACACTGTAAAAGCATGTGAGAAGAAATTAACTCTACCCTAGCTGAAACCAGGACAATGGGACAGGATTTAGAGGTGATGACACTTCCTTCATATTTCAAACACTGATACAGTAGCCTTGGAAGGTGTGGCATGGAAGGAGGTGACAGCAAGGAAACCAGTAACCTCATTGTGAGTTGGTTGCAAGTGCTAAACATGTTAATGAGCATATTTTGAAATGTAATTAAGTGTAGTGTTGAGTACAGTAAAATTGTATTATTGAAACAGAAGAAAAAGAAGCTCAGTTTGTGAGTACATCTTACGTTACATTTATAAACTTGGAGAATGTGATAAGAATAACTGAGAAAATATTTTGTTTATTTCCATTCCTCACCAGCAGATTTTATAAAGAGATGTCCTTTTTCCCTAAAATCTCTTTCCGGTGTGAAGTTGAAGAGTATCTCACCAAAGTGTTCAGTAATAAAGAGGTATGTGACATGGATACTACTAATCATCAACAAATAATCAATTTTTTTATGTAACTTTAATACCTTACAATAAAGTAATTGTCCTCACATTAGACACAGAGTTTTTATATAAAATACTTTTATATTTAAAATATAAAATTAATATTTATGGCCATTGGCTCAAAGTAACATAAATATTTAAATTAAATGTAACATAAATCAGAGAATTGATCCCACTGAAGAGAGATCATAGATAATTAACCACTTATTAACCACATAATATTAACAAGAAATACTCCCTTACCTCAGTATAGAACCAAAACTATGACAGGCAATCTATTAATTCCTAATGCCAAAGGATAAAATAATTACATTTTTGTACATCAGTATGAAAGTTACTAATTCATAGTTTTGAATCTACCCATCCATTTCCTTAGGACTGTATTTTGTACAGTATCTCTATCACGGAGTAGTTACTTTTGATACTTGCTGCAGACTATTTGCAGTGATTTTGCAAATACAACTGTTTTTCCAATGAGTGCTTTTCAAGAAATTTATGAGGCTTCCAGTGTAATTAGACGTCCAGATATTGACATTTCTCACTATTGCGCACCACACAACCATATTCCTCCATTTCTGTGGAGTTTTTATTCAGTGGCATCCTTTTGCACTGAGCAAGAGACTGCTGTGTGAATCTCTTTAATAAAAAAATCTCTTCTTTCACTTTCAGCTTATCACAGCTTTAGGTACACAGGAGGCAGAGAATAAATATCAATCTCTGTTAAGTCGTCTATCTCATCCACCAAGTTTTACAACTGTAAGAGTTAATACCCACTTGGCCTCAGTGAAACACGTGAAAAAATTGCTGTTTGAAGAGATCCAGAAGGTTTGTGCAATTTCTTTGTTACAGCAAAAATAATAATTCATCTTTTGCCTGATTATGAGAGCTTTTCTTTACTGGAAAGTATACCTTACCTTAATGCACGTCCAGTAGTATTAACATTATGCAATCATATAAATTTCCTGTCAGCATTAAATGTTAAATGAAAATTCACTGTCTAGCAGTATTCCTCATCTAATCCATCCAAAAAGGGCAATAATAGAGGGAAAAGGCCATCAACTCTTTTTCATGTGGCAGATCCAAACCTTAGCTAGGATCGAGGTACTACTGTAGTAAATACTGTAAAGGTGTCATAAGTCTATAGAGAAGATGGAAGATAAAAGCTGTAGTTCAGTATGCTGTCTTCAGCATGCTTAGAACATTTTTTATTTAAGATTAGAGGAGAATGCCTGTGTATTTCATTGCAGAAACTGTTTAGGAAAGTGAGAAAATCTGTATGTTTTAGAAACTGGAGACAAAGTGATGCTCTGCAGCTGCTGTATTTTTTTTTTTAACCTGTTCTGTAATCTTTCTATCATCATGGCTAGGCTTTGTGAACGAAGATTTGTATAGTTTTGTGGATTTTTACTGACCTAACTTAAACATTTATTTATCTGATAATATATAAGCTATTATGTTTAAGAAATGTATTATTTTGAAATTGTGCCCTAGATCTTCGCTCTGTCTAAAAAGAGCCAGTTCTTCTTTAAGTAAATTATTAATGCTAGTGGGTGTACAGGGAGCTCTTGCATGACAGGACCCAAGACGTTTCTGTGATGCAGAGGCAGTTGACAGTGTTCTGTTGGCTGGAATGGTAATAAGCTATGCTAATTTTAGCTTGATTGTAGAAATCTGGAAGTGGGTACTGCAGTATGATATTTTGCTTCAAGGGAAAAGGCTTTGCTGAAAACTGACTGAAGACTGGCTTTTCACAAACTTTCTGTATTTTGAAGTGTGATTAGAAAAGGAAGCCACATAACACAGTTTTGAACAAAATTATGGTCATGGCTTGTTTTCTTTTTTAAGGGAAAATGCTTATTTATCAGAAGCAAACTGATTTATGGTTTTACATTCTCTAAGGCTATAATTTAGAAGGCTCGGGAGAGAAGACATCATCTTTTTGAAATTCAGGAACCTTTATAAAATGGAAAACTGTCATACTGTCATTTTTTTTCAACTATCTGCACTACTCAGCTCTCAGTATCCAAAGTTAAGCTGACAAAAAAAATGATAAGTTTTGCCAACCTGGCATGTTAAGTAAGACAAACAATACACGAGTAGAGTTAAACAGTGGTTTCAAACTAATAATATCAAGAAGGTAACACAGATTAGACCCAAGCTTCTATGGTGGTGTTACTGTGTTCTGATGACAACTCAATCTTCTTTGAGAAAAAAGAAGAAGCCAGTGGTAGGGATATGAGTGTCAAAACACTTTTCCACTCCCTGAAGTCAGTTCTCAGTCAATCCCTTTATGGCCTTGTTATTTCTCAGTTTATTAAATGTTTAGACTTTTACACCAGTATTTTTACTATTGAGTGTCCCCTTACACACTATTTCCCACCCATTTTTATCTGTTTTCACTACCTTTGCTTTTTATGCTCTACAGCTATAAATTATGAATGGAAAAATAGTTTTCAGTCTAATTAAGTGTTGAAATATTAAGTTTATTAGTAGTGCCTAATAATTATGTATTTTGTTAATAAAACAGCAGTTCAAAGGACCATATGTTCCAGTTCTTGAGCACCCAAAACTCCAGGACATCCTATTAATTCCTGTCATTGGACCCAGGTTTGAAATTTTCAGTCTTTCGCCTTAAAATGTTGTAACACATTTTACTTACAGATTTCATGTTAAACAGTTATGATAACTAACTCACTATAACTGAAGCACAACTTCATTTATATTGTGACCTCGTGGAAGTCCGTACACTTACCAGGTCAGAGTTTTAGTCATTAAAAGATATAAGAAAACATAGAAAGAGTTTTGTGACTTATAATTTATGAGACTAATGTTTTATAGGGAAAATGTAACATGAGTGCATCCTCCCTGGAAAGCCAGTAGGGTGGCATACAGAAGAACTGAACTTTTGCAGTGGAATATAGAACTATAGCTAAATACAGGCAGGTTTTTTTTACACTGGAAGAAATCAAATGGAATCAAGATGTAAGTTTGTAAACACAAAAAAATACTTTACAATCACCTGGCCTAGAAAGGGATAGAGGATTGTTTCTCCATCCTAGTACAATTTTTTTGTATTCCTATGTTAGGTTCTGGTAGAATGTGCCAGAATCTGCATTGTTTTGAGGACTTTTCTTCTTCTTGGCTCTTTCCTTTGATTTCTCTGTGACTAAAATAAATCTTTTACATGTAATACATGATATTTAAGTAGTTTTTCTATTATATTCTGACAAATCGGTATTTATGAACTAGAGTTGACTTGGGGGGCATTTGGCTTTTTTTCAGTATACTTTTTTAACTGAACTATATTTTGTATTTCTAGGCAAGACTTAAAAAAACATCCATCTGAAGTAATTGTTGGAGCCCAGTGTGGATATGCCGTACTTCGAGGAGCACATGTTTATGTCCCTGGAATCGTATCTACATCAAGATGTAAGAGTTCTCTGAATACACCAAGTTAAGTTGTAAAGCTGACAGAAGAAGTGTAAGCCTTTGATGACAATTTCCAATAAATAGTGACATGAAATTTTTTTCTATTCACGGCTGAAATTAGTCCTATAGTTGTAATTTATGCTAATTACATTTTTAAGGCTTTTCTGGCTTTTTTTTCTTGAGATTTTTGCTATTTTCATTGCACTTGTAATGAATTAAATCTAATTATTTTCAGCTGGCATGTTTTAAATTCCTTTTTCCATGTGTAATTTGTACCTTAAGTATTAGTTCTCAAGGATTTCACTTTCTTGGTCTCATTTCAAAACCTTTTTAAAGAGTATTTTCAAAGTAAAACATGGCTTTTTAAGAATTTTTTTGAGCTTAATACTGTAAATTTTAATATGGATGTTCAGTTGAACAAATTACAGAAGTTAGCTGCTTTCCAGTCTTGTAAAGAAAACCCAAAAAACACGGGATGCCACATCTGGATGGTGCCTGGATGTATCTTGATTATTCAATAGATACTGTTTCCAGATATGTTATTTCTTCATTCATTCACTAAGCCACTTACCTTCATTATCCTGTCAGATTTTAAGTTACAGATCTATAAAAACCCTAATTTTTTTTTATCCATTGAAATTTCATTTGATACTATTTGTGTCTGAGAGATGTAGTAAAAATCTTTTTTCATTGATGAGAAAAATCTTCAATTTTAATTGTCAAATTCTTAAGAAATGGAAATTATGTTTCCATGCCTATGAGACAAGATAAAAAAAAACCTACATATACATGCTTTGTGTTAAGCAGCCTATTTATTTTTTATTTAAAGGTCAAATTAACTTTATGTAAAACCAGTATAATTTTGGGTGATTCACTTTATTATTCTATTGTGATGAGATCTACTAATCATCATGGTTCTTATTATTAAACAAAGTGAGTCAGGAAAGCATTTATCTAGTCACTTCAATTCTCTTTTGGAAAAATAAAAAAAAACTTCAAGAAGTTTTAAGCATGTGCTTAAGTCAAATTCACTGAACAGAAATGTTTTTCAATCTAGGACTCAATAATGAAATAAGTATATTGCCTGAGCAGTTGTTGAAGCTGCTTATTTAGACAATGTAATAAATATTCAAATCCTGCTTTGAGTCAGCTAGTGATTTATCATAATTGCTGCATGTAATTATGCATGCAACATCAGTTTGAAGAAAAGAAAAGATACTATAAAACTTCAGGAACACTTCAGGGGAATTGCAGATAAGAAAATATAATTAAAGGGCATACTACCCACTTGATGCCAAATATAATAAGGCTGTATTAAGCACAGATGGTCTAAGTAGGGAAAAAAAGTAGTACAGCAAGAGCACATTTAATCACCAAACTTCCAAGCCAAATGAGGGTAAACAAATGATTGGGGGACTTTGAGTTTAATTTAACTAATCAAAGCCCAAGCTTTATGTTTATAGAATGCTGGTATAAGATACAAAAAGCTTAAGAACTGTATACACTACTAATATATTCTGAAAGGACGATTGTCAGCAGAGAGTGAAATAAAATCATTTCTGTTTGAATACTGCAAAACATAATTGGCAGATATGCTTGATGGAAGAGTTAAATTGCTCCAGGTTTTTGTTCAGTGAAGTTTGATCAGACAGTAACAGTGAGCTACCATATAATATTTTGTGTCACTGTGTAAAAAGAAGCTATGTAAAAAAAAAATTCAGTGGCTACCCAGCAAATATTACCATTTAAAATTTTCAGGCTATTTGTGCATAATCAGAAGGCCACTTGAAAATGGAAAAAAAAAGGATTCCCAACTGCAATTTAAAGAATTCCTAGGAAGCTGAACTGTCATTAATCTTACTTGTTATACCATCTGGTACCTCCAGACTGTCACTCATGTCACAAATGTAATTTTGGAAAATTGTTTGTTGCTTTGAGAAGAGGCCTTTACTTTTAACATTTTTCATCCAGTCAGTGCAGAGAGCTTGCTCACTCTTCTACAAAATCACCTAAACCATCCTCCTTTTCCATTTATTTTTGTTCTAACTCAGCAAGTCTTTTAAAGTCTGCATGATTACACTTCTAGTGTTTGGTGTATATTTACAACTTTACTGATCTGGTAGGTTTTAATTGGAAATAAAAAACTCTCTAAGAGGATTATTGAGAACAGCAGTTGCTTTAAAGGAAACAAAACCAGACCAGAAAGAGAATGTATAATCACTTGTATGAAAGCAATAGTTAGAGAAAAAGCAGCTATACTTGTGTTCTACCTAGCTATTGGGAGGTCATTAGACAAATTTAGCATTACTGTCTTTGTTTAGTAAGTGTGAACCAGTGTTGTTTGATGTACTCGTGTGCTTGGAGCACACAGAGAGAACTGGATCCTGAAGAGTGTGAGGAAAACTTGCGGGTGACCTTGCTGTGATCAAATAAATAAAGTGCAGATTTTGTAATCTCTTAGAAAACAAGGCACACTATCTGACTTGCAGCTTGGTGTTTCTCAGTAGCTCCAGTCATTTGGTAGCCATTATTTACCACCTACTAGACCACATTATATGCCAGTGCCCTGGTGTATACATGGCTAGCCAAATCAGTTATGGATTGAAGCTAACATGTTTAGAACTGGTTTTATGCATTTCTTTACAGTGTGAAGGCTTGGAATAGATCTTGGTTTGTCTTGTGTAGAAAAAAATAAATTTGCTTTCTGCAGTTTTAGAGATGATTCCAACTTATAATGTGGTCTAGTGGTAAAGGCGCGGCGCTATCACCGCGGAGACCCGGGTTCGATTCCCGGTCAGGGCCACTCCCGGGCAGGTGGGGCTCGTTAGCCCTTAAAGGCAACCCACCTACGTCCTGAGGACCTCGCTGCCACCGTCCAAGCTCGCTTGGCCCCGGCAGATGAACCTTAGGATTAAAGGGTGGGCTCAGTTCCGCGCACACTGTGTCTCACCTAAAAAATCCAATGCGCAGGCTGGAAGGTGGAAAGACCTTCCCCGGATCTTCGCTCGCGAAGACTGGCCATTATTATTTACCACCTAACACTTTCAAGCTTTATATCAGCTAATCTTCATCTTTGATTAGAAGAATAAAGTTTAAAGTCTGATATGATACAGGAGTTGAAGTAAGTAGTCTACTGAAAATCTGAAATTATTTGGTCACTACTGTTTTGTTAAGTGTCATGTTGATCTGAGAGTTTCTGTTCTTCTTTCTGCAGTTGTGAAAGCTGGAGATCTGGTCTCAGTGTATTCGGATATTGAAGGGAAGTGTAAAAGAGGAGCCAAAGAATTTGAAGGAGTCAAAGTTTTCCTTGGAAATGGGATTTCAGAACTGAGTCGTAGTGAAATCTTCAGTTCAAGTGGCCCATTGAAGTAAGTCCATTGTAACTGCAATCTGCATGAGTTTACATGACTGGTAGGAGGAAATAAGTAGGAGTTTTTCATAATTTATCTACAGCATATGACTTCAGCAATATAGAACAAACAGAACTGACAAATGGTCTCACTGTGGCAAAATTGCATTGTGGTGAATTATTCTGTGCCGCTTCCCTGTTTGGATGGAACAGAAGTGCAGCCTTATCAATTTCTCCATCTTTTAAAAATATCTGTAGGGGCCTTTGTTTCAGTGGGACAGGGGACAGAACATAAGGTCAGATATCTTAAAAAAATTAATAGCATCTGCCTAGGTAGTTATTTATTTCAAGATTACTTGCTTTTCTATTTTGTTGCTGAAGCATTATGGTTTATTCTTCTCCTGTCATCTAAAACACACATAAAAAGTAATGTAAAAGAGCATGGACATTAAATTAATGACTGAGGCTTTACATCCTGAGAACAAACTACAAAAGATCTAGAGAGAAAGGTTACATTGTCGGAGGATTTCTCCTTTATGAGAGCTTAAATATAGTAGGAGTAGTGGTAGGATATATCCTTTAGAGTTGGTGACATGGAACAGCAGTATGTAACACTGAGTCTGGTGCCTACAAGTTTGCTTTCTCATATCTTTCCTTCTCCATGTTGGACTATCCAGTACATATGCAAAATAATACTCATTGTTGTTCTCTTCAGTAATCTTTTTTTTCAGGCTCAGAATTGCTTTTTCTTGGTTTTCTTTTTATCGTTGTCAATTTCCTGATACATTTCTTTTAACAAATCTGTGTCAGGATTTCATCCGTATTTAAAACCTCAGGTTACCTCTAACTTCAGACTTTTACTTTGCACACAAATCAATGTTCCTGTAACATACATTCCTGTTTCATATAACATTTCTGTAGTTATTTGGCTGAAATCTCAGATACTTTAGAAAATGGAGGAAAATCTAAGTAGGAAATCATATGCCAGTGCCCTGGTGTGTACATGGCTAGCCAATTCAGTTATGGATTGAAGCTAACATGTTTAGAACTGGTTTTATGCATTTCTTTACAGTGTGAAGGCTTGGATTAGATCTTGGTTTGTCTTGTGTAGAAAAAAATAAATTTGCTTTCTGCAGTTTTAGAAATGATTCCAACTTATAATGTAGTGCATTTTTGGTCATGGTTTACTCAATGATGTCATTTTAAAGAATATCATATTACAGAAGTATGAAAGTGGTTTTCTTTGATTTATAAGATCTTTCATTTTTGTAAGATTGTTGTTTTAAGCTGCTATGTGTAAGCATAAAGATTTTAATTGAATACTGTTAAAATTTATAAAACTGAGTCGTTTAATTTTTTTTTCATGTTTTTCAGGGGGCTAGGTGTAAGAATGATAGAACCAGTCTACCTTAGTCCTTCATTTGACAATGTGCTCCCTAGTCATTTGTTTTTACAGGTATGTTTGTTACAAAAATTAAAAGTCTGTACTATTTACAGAATCGTGAATATCCTCTTAGCACACATTAATGCTTTATCTATTCATTGTGTATTTTAGCATCTAATTCAGTCTTTGGATTTAAGGAAAACAAAGCATTTGGAATGAAGTCAGTGTCTACATGTAGGTGGTTTAATCATACTGTGACAGAGATATGATAAGGGACTTCAAAGTGACTTAAGAGATATTTAAAAATGTAGAAATTTTTTTTTGCACAGATACTCTGCATAGAACTATTAGTTTTTGGAATATGCCTATGAACTCTAGTTCATATTAGTTTTTGGAATCTGCCTCTTTAAGGTTACATAATTCTGCAGACTATCAGGAAAATCTCCAAATATTAGGTTGGCTTTAAGCTATTATTTAAGTACTAAAGACAACTTTAAAAGGGTTTTATACCTTTGTGTTTAACTGAGAAGAGAATATTTCCGTGTTGTCTGAGATGCAATACTGCCCACAATTATTGCACATTATTTCTCTTCAGAGCACCTATTCTGTTTATACAATTAATAGTGCAGTTCAGCTTCTTGGTAATTTAATTCAGCAAGTTTAAACTTCTGTCTATTGTTCTAACTGTTCTTTAGTGTACTGTGTCAGTGTATTAATATACTAAATGTTCCAACAAACAGGTTAATATATTTGTAATAGATAGAGCTGCTCTGTGTCTGAGACAGACACAGAGTATCAGCTTATTTTATTTTGACTTCTAGCACTGTAGTCATGAATTCTTAAACTTCATTCATAGACACTCATATATAGCTTTAAATAAAAAACTAGCCACTGGAGACTTCTGACCTATAGTGTCCCATTTATATTATGCAAACAGTTCATTTTCTGTTAAAGAACTGAGAGCAATATCATAGGTATCTTCACTGCTGAATGAATTATTTTATTCAATGAGTTTTTCATTCCTTAGTAAAGGAATGATGCAGAGTATAAGGTTTGAATTCTCCCGTATTTGTTTTTATGATAGAATTTACCTTCTGTGGTTGTGAGCCACATTTTAAACCCTCAACCAGGAGAGAAAATTTTGGATATGTGTGCTGCACCTGGAGGAAAAGCAACCCATCTTGCAACATTAATGCATGACCAGGTAAGGAAAGTCATTGGGAATTTTCTGTCTAAGGAAGAAAGTCTGAGCCTTGTTCATTTGTACAGGTCCCTTCACTCAGGTGTCAGAATGCACAGATATTTCTGACATTCTGCTTACCAATATATTTTGCTACACATCAGAGTTACTGAAAGTAACAGTCTTTATTGAATAGTCACCATCATATTTAAAACCTTATTTGTTACAAATTGACTTGTTAAAATATATTTAATTTCACTTTTAAATGCTACTGATTTATTCTTAATCAAAGAATTTGTAACATGCAAGGCAAAGTTATGCAGGAATATGGTGAAGTCATGAAACTGAGATACATGAAAATTGGGGGTTACTACTGTGTGCGAAGGAAATGCACAACTCTGTACAAAAAACATTTTAAAGAGTTCCTAAGCCAATTAACTTTCTTCTCAGTAAAAATTATCAATTATGCATACAGATATGAATCTTAGACTGAGTTTCTAATCTGAATTTGTCATTCTATGGTAGAAAATCCAAAGCTATCTCATGAGAAAGAAACAAAACAATATGTAGAGAAAGACAAAGGAAAACAGGACATAATCATATAAGAATGTAGGAATAAAAACTTGCATATATTAAGTTGCTATATGCACAGTGAAATATAAGTTTCTCTTTTCTAGCAGAGAGGGGAAAAGCATGTAATGTTTCCTCTAAAAATTTTGTAAGATGTTATTACTTTTGTTGGTATAGGGTTATTAGAATATATCAGATCATTTAGAAGTCTTACAGTTACATTATGCAGTACTTTGACAGTTGCCTGTGCATTCATGGGAAGTACAGAGTGTAATGATATGAATGTCTTTAGAAAAGGCATGTATACAATTCTGTGATGGTTTGTCTGTCTAAGTGTTTTCTTCCCTCGGTATGGAACATTTTAAAATGCATTAGAAAGTCATAAGACACTTATTAGATAAATATATAAAGCTTTAGTAAAGAATTTCAGTGAGATAATTAAAGGAAGTCTGTAAATCACATATTTCTGTCATAGATTCATTTACATCTATAGTTTTTCCATCTGTGTATGTATCCTTAGTCACTTTACATATTTTGATTGTACTTTCCTCCAGCTGAAGTGGTAAAGAGTAAGAATACAGATGTTGAATATTAATCTGAATTGATTTTCCTTTTTTGAGTATATAATTTTAATATATGGAAAGATAAAGATATTGAAAAAAGCACTGGTTTTTGGTTTCTAAGTTCCATTCACAGATTTTCTATACTAAATTTTCGTAGATGGTATGTTGAATCATTAACATTTCAGAATATTTGAATCAATCTTTCTTTTTTGTTATATAATTGTAGAAATCAATGTATTGTTTTAGATGAGATAATCAAGATGTAAAATTACTCTGTTAAGAGCTTTTAAATAGGATTTTGGAATAGCTAAAACTTGAGAATTTATTAGTATCTGTATTTATTAATATCCCAGTTCAGACCACCATTTTTTCCAGATGTCTTTCAGGTATAGTTGTTCTGGCAGTGGCTGACATGGGTCACATGGGGAAGAAGTGTTGTCTGCCAGCTCCTTCTTTTTCCTGAGTCTCTCAAGACGCAGCCAGAGAGTTGTGGCCAATGGCTCTCATGACGGGGTGGAGGCCGGTGATGAGCTGTGTTCCTCACTGGTCCTTCTTGGCACTGGTGCTCTTTAGTACCTTTATCAATGACAGATAATGAGATCAAGTGCATCCTCAGCAAGTTGGCCAATGATACCAAGCTGAGAGGTGCAGATGATACACCTGAGGGACAGGATGTCATTCAAAGGGACCTGGACTAGAGAAGTGGGCCCATGGGAGCCTCCTGAGATTCAGCGAGTCCAAGTGCAACCTCCTGCACCTGGGTCCAGGCAATCTCAAGCTGATAGACTGAAAGAACTACTCACTGAAAGCAGTCCTGCTTGAGTTGGAGGTGCTGGTGAATAAGTAGCTGGACATGAGCAGGCAAGTTGCACTTGTAACCCAGAACCAGCCATATCTTGGGCTGCATCAAAAGCAGTGTGAGCAGCAGGTGATGGGAGGTGATTCTGCCCTTCTGCTCTGCTCTGATGAGACACCACCTGGAGTGCTGTATATGGTTCTGGGGTCCCAGCACAGGAAAGTGGACCTGCTAGAGTGGGTCCAGAGGAGGCCGTGAGGGTGATCAGAGGGCTGGAGCAGCTCTGCTATGAAGACAGGCTGAAAGAGCTGGAGCTCTTCAGCATGGAGAAGGGCCTTCCAATACTTAAAGAGGGCTTATAAAAAAGAAGAGTGATTTTTACACAACAAACATAGATATTAGGAGGGAATTCTTTACTCAGAGGGTGGTGAGGCACTAGAACAGGCTGTCCAGAGAAGCTGTGGATGCCCGATCCCTGGAAGTGTTCAAGGCCAGGTTGGATGGGACTCTGAGCAACCCAGTCTAGTGCAAGGTGTTCCTGTCCATGGCAGGGGAGGTTGGAATGAGATGATATTTTAAGGTCCCTTCCAACCCAAACCATTCTATGATTCTATGACCTCTTTATATCCACATACTGCACATGTGCTGCAAATCCTGTTATAGCAACAGACGTAACTTTGAATTACAGTAATTTCTTAGTATACATGTGCAAGGGGTTGAATGGTGTTAGGGGAGAAGCAGTGGCACGTGGTTCATGAACGCTGCTGTAAGAGGTGATTTGGCTCACAGTACCTGAAGGCTGGACATCATTGATGCAACATGTATCCTTTTGTACTTCTCAGTCCTAGACCTACATAATGGCTAACATGACATACAGACAACAGCTTATCCTTATTTTTTTATTTTTTTACATTATTTTAGGCATGTTACCCTTCCATAAGCCTTTAGAGAGCCATCATAAAGTGGAGAAAAGTTGTCATGTTTCCTCAGCAGATTCTATTTTGCTATAGCGAGTCTAGTAGAGGGTTTTGGTCATTGTTTTGTGGGTTTTTAAAATAGTTTTATGGTTTTTGGATTTTCCTGATGCTGCTGTTTACTTTTCTTTGTGTTCACAGATTTGATGTAGCAGTTAGTGGTTTGTGTCTATTTTAATTTATCTTGAGAGAGGGAAATAAAAATTTTGATTTCCCTCCTCCCACCTCTAAATTTATTCTAGTATTTACACTATTTCCCAAAATAAATTGAGTGACAACTACTGCAAGTATAACAGTATGTTATGAGTCTGAGCAAGTCAGAGGCAGGGCTGTGGGCCTCATTTCCTCAGGACTGAGTTGTATGTTGTCATGTTTGTTACCATATCCATGCAAATTTAAACCTGTTGACCTATTTTACCAGGTATTTGAGGTTTCTACCCTTTTCAAATGATTACATTTTTACTTTAATGCCCAGTAAAACAGTTAAAAGCAAACAAAAAGGAAATAAACAAAAGATCCACTTGCCAAAGTCGGACATTATAGGGTTCCTTAGACTGACAGTACCGAGCAGCCAGTGCCAGTCAGAAGGCACACAGCTTCAGACTAGTATCTGGACTAATGTGGGTATCATTGAGATGATGGGCAAACAAGGACTGCAGGAGTGTGGATTTAAGAATAAAATGATTCTGTAGGGAAAAGTATGCTTTATCCATTTCACTGCTTATGGCTGGGGGAGGAAAAGAAATCAGAAAATGCACATCCATTTAATCCCTGTGCTTTTGATGAAAACTTTTTTTTTCAGGGTGAAGTAATAGCCATGGACAGGATAGCTAAAAAGGTCAAAAAAATCAAGCTGAACGCTGAATTGCTACAATTGAATTGCATTAAGGCCTTTTGCTATGATGGAACAAAGGCTCTTTCAGTTGAGAAGCGAGAGGATGAACAAGGTAAAATAAACAATTTGGCTTTTAGAAGAAAATACTAGTGTTTTGCACTCACAGTATTAAACCTGCCACAGGTCTACAAGTCCTTAAAATTTTAGCAGATTCCTAAGTTGCTTCATTGTTGTGAATGCACTTTTATTTTATACTCTTTTGTGATTATCACCTTCTCTATGAAGCAAATACAAAAGTCAAATGATCTGTCCTTATCACAACCTAATATGCTCAAAGGAAATGCATTCCTTTCCCAGGTAATATCAAAGAGAAAAGAAGCCTTAAAGCTTCTTTCATGATCACATTTAACCCCATACTCTGAATTGTCTGACCAAGTCTGAGAAAAAAATTATTTTTGCAGACTTGCTTGGCTTTTCTGCCTCATAATCCTCATCATTAAAATTGGGTTATTAATACCTAACTCCCGGGAGTGTTGCAAGGTTTAGTTCATGGATATGTTTGTTCAGCTGTTCAGGGGAAAGTTATATAGAAGCACAGTGTATTATTTTAAGTTCATTTCATTTGCTTTTCTGAAGTGCTGCAGTTATGATACTGGTTCTTTTCCCATGACGGAATGATTTAAACGGTATCTGCTGTCTTGATTATTTTTAGTTTGCTGTGTATGTATGTATGCTGTTCTTTCTCACTCTATTTTATCTCAGTCACTGGTTAGCCTAAGTAGGAATCAGATTGCATAATTCACCTTCTTTGTCCCTATGCCTTGCAGTTATTCCTGCTTTGGAGGAACAAAGATACTTCCTTTATAGTCTCTTTTCGAACATTAAATATTGTAGGTGGTATGTAGCAATTAGACCGCTGAACGAGAGCAAGATGTACTACTCAGGGATTATGAAGGCTTTTCTGTACATCCCTGCAAGCAAGACATGACATATTTTGAACATTTTAGTAATGGATCAGAAGTAGATAAATCAGATAGACTCATTTTGTAGTGCAGGAACAAGCTAGTTAGCAGTAGTATGATAGTACAAGTATGGTAGCAGTAGTACCTGGAGATGCTGAGCTGGACAGCCTCTCTAGAACTGAGGAGGCAGAAACATTTGGGCTATTGAGCCATTGGGGTCCGGATTAAAGCATAGGCTCTGCATATAGAAGATACATATTATCATCCAAGTAGTAGTTAGAAATTGTTCTTGTCTTCACAATCCTTGTTTATTGAATTGTTCTGCCATGGAGACAGCACGTCACACATTAGAACTTGTAATGGTTCATGTTATTATGAAGTGCTTTATTTTCTACGGATATGCATGCATCACAATAAATAGTTATTATATAGACAGTCCAATTATTATTATTTAAGGCAGTTGTAACAATTAACTACAGGTGTCTCTCAGTAAAGGTTTGTTTCAGTTATGAGCTAACTGTTCTTCATTACAGCCTGTATGTACAACTCTGTACTCAGCATCTCTGACGAATCATATTTCCACTTTTTTGTTTGATTACTTTTACATTTTACTTTCAAATTACTAAATTAACTTTAAAAAAAATTATTGCCTAAAGGGATAATTTTTGAGCTCACAGAACTTAAACTGTTTAGTTTTCTGGGAGATGAAAACCACCACCAGCAGTGCTGAGACTTGTCTCTAGCTGAGACTACTTTTGCAGACAATGTCTATAGCACATTAATGTTTTACATCAAGGAAGCAGTAACAGCTTGTCCTTTTCTACGATGAAGTCTCAAGGAAAGAAACACAAGTTCTACATTACTCTCTGCTTTTACAGAAGGACCTCCATTCTTACCAGAATCATTTGACCGGATTCTTCTTGATGCTCCATGTAGTGGTATGGGGCAGAGACCAAACATGGCTTATTCTTCAACTTTAAAGGAAGTGACCTCTTATCAGCCACTACAGCGCAAGCTTTTCACTGTGGTATGTATTAAACATTGAGTAGATAAGCTAAATAGAACATAAATGCTTTTGCAGCATAAAACTTCATACCAAAAAAAATGGTGCCTTATTTTCCCTACCTTTTCAGCAGCTAAGAAGTGTAAGGGTCCAGTTAACCTCTCAGTTCCACCATATCTATTGCTAGGTGAAGTCAATTCGTTAGAGCATGGGAAAGGTATATGTAATTCATAGTAGATAAAAACCTTTGTGTTTTTTTTAATCTGTCAGTTTCATCACTTTTAGTTTATAATAATTGCAAGGGTCTAAGTCACAGAGAAGGTTTCTTAGGATCATGCTAAGGAGCGTGCTTGGGCTGATGCTGAAAGATAAGATTTAATGCAACTTGTCTAAATCTGAATGACACATATTCAGAGTGAATGACAGCTTGAAAAGCACCATAGATATAGCTTCCATGCCAAATATGTGGAAACAGTTGACATCTAATATGACTGATAAAAGTATTGTGTATCCATGGTTGGCAGCAGGTGGTGAAAACAGACCTAATCTGTCTGGGATATACAGAGCTGTATAAATAACAGCTCTTACAAGGTGAATCATCTCAATGTCATTAATAAACTGCATGAGCTATAATGCCTGTTTAGAAAGAAGAACCTTTCTACTCCATGGGATCCTTTACTGTATTCCCTGAGAAGAGTTAGTATCCTAATGCCTATCCTAGAAAGATTTGAGTTTAATTAAGTGCTAAGTTTTAATATTATAGCTTAACGGATTCTTGGTTAATGTTGCTTAATATGAAAGTTTTTACATTTAAAAATAAGCTGTACTATTTTTTATTTCTCCTTGAAGGCAGTGAACTTGCTGAAGCCAGGAGGTGTTTTAGTTTATAGTACATGTACCATTACACTTTCTGAAAACGAAGAGCAAGTTGCTTGGGCCCTGAAAAGATTTCCATGCCTCCAACTTCATCCACAGGTAATAGTATTTTTAGGGTACTTCACACAATCTAATTAGCTTGTTTTGGAACTGTAAAGTTACACACTATATTTACTATCAATACATATCTTTTTCACTGTGGACAGTTTTAAGTGCTGTGGATAGAAATTAACACGAGGATTTCAGCTTTTTTAATATTTAATTTTGTGCTTAATTGAGCTTCATTTAGGGATCATTAAGTAGTTTCCCAGTGTTTATTGTGGTTATTTTGATTTTTACAACAGTCTTTTAAAGTACAACAGGGACAATAGATAGTTCTGATGTTAAAATTTCTCTTGCAATTGTTCTTTAATGCATATTTGCACATTGAAAGGAAAGGTGAAAATTGTTTTATTAATGCCACTGAAGTCGTGAAGACATACATAAAGGAGGGGACATAAGTGAAAATAAACGTGTTTTGAGGAAGGAGGATTTTATACGTATGGGTGCTATTTTTGCTTTATTTAAAGGAATGAGGGAACAAATTTATTTCAGGCTAGAATTTTTTATCTATACCTCATACAGTTCATACAGTTCAAAAATATCTGTTACCTTTATTAGTACTTTGAGGTAGTCTGTCATCAGTCTGCATACATCACTCTTCCCCTGATGATGTGATGAGCTGGGTGGTGTAATTGTTTATTATCATGGCTTTAAGGAAAAATCTAACTCCAATACCTGTTTAGCACACTTATACATTCTGTGATGACTTGTACCTGTCTTAAGAAGTTTAGATGAACCTTTTAACTGAAATGAACAAAATATACACAACATGTATACAATAAGAAACTATATGAAGGCTGGTAAAGATTTAGCAGTACTGAAGCTGTTCTTCAAGGATTTGTTTGTTCTGTTCTTCCATCTGCTTTCTCACCATTCATTTACTAGGAATTTTTCAGTTCCAGCCATTTCAACTAATATTATACATTTTACCTAACAATATAAAAAAATTCACCTTGATAGAATGACAAAGCAAAACACAAGCCCTATTAACTCAAATGCAGAGTTAATTCTGGTTTAATAGACTTTCTCTCACCAGTAATATCAGTCTTAAACAAAGCACTGTTCTTCACACACAAATGCCATAAGAATAAATCGTTTGTGAATAGTATGTTTTAAATTAAATGACACTGAATTTTTTCCCCATAGATAGTTTATAGTACCTTATAACCAGTTCTCCAGCAGTGTAAAGTAAGGTGATCTTTTCCGATGAACAGGAAACTGGAATCTAAGGCTACTTACCTCATGTTCCTTTATGTATTTATTTCCCATGTTCTTTAGTCACTTAGTGGACACCTCCTTTTATACCCAGTCCACTGTTTCCCACTTTTTCAGTTTGGCAACAGGTCCTGGAATCACGTTGGGTAAGGTGAGTAAGGATAGAACAGGAGATGGGAGCCATAGGTGTTGTTCTCATAGGTGGAAGTTACCGTATGGCAGCTGATCCATTGTGCAGACTTACTTCCTCTTAGGAGTTACACAGGAGGTACTGTAGATCAGCTTAAATGCAGTAACTTAACTGGAAGGAAAAAAATGAATAGGTATACGAAAACACTGGTCTTTCTTTGAGCAAGTTGCTCCAACCTGTGCAATACTGTTTTCCATAGATTTCTACCTTTCCATCCTTCTACTACATTACTTCAAATTGCTACCCTTGTCCCCCTTTGTATGTTACTTTTGTCTCAATTTGCAATAGACACCTCTTTTTGTCTTTTACCTGGAAAGCATTGCAATCCTGTTGAGGGCAAGGAAGAGAAGAATCAGGCTACAACCTCTTGGCAGCTTTTACTGCACACAGTATGTGGTTAAGCAACTAATTCACATCATGTGCTGACTGGGTGAGATCATGTGTCTGCAGAGTGTGGTGACTGACAAAATGCTCTGCTGCAGGCTGCATTATAGACTACATTAGACCAGATTGACAAAGGAGATCAACTTTTGATATTGCGGTGCCATCTTTTGTACATTTTTTCTATTCCTTAATGAATGCATTGAAAGCAAAGCCAGCTAAGAATTAGATTTCTTCCAGGAGTGTATTAAATAAAAAGCAGTCAAGGCTACTCACAAGAAACACTGAGAAAAGGGCTGTGTTTTTAAGCCCTTCTCCTCTCCAGGATTTTGATGCCAAATGTCATCTCCTGAATTCAGATACCTAAGCATTGCTTTCTCTTTTTCTCTGCCTCATACACATGTAACAGTAGTCCCATTTATATAAATATATATAAAAAAAATCTGAAGTTCAGATAAAAAATATATAAAAAATATAAAAAATCTGAAGTTCAGATTTTTCTGCTACATCATTTGACAGAATGATGCCTCTTCAGACTGGGGCTTTCAGTCTCTGCAGTTGAAGTTTTTAAATGTGAAGAACCCAGGTATTTTTACTACTGTTACTGAGTATATTAGTAATGGGCTAAGGAATGACTATTTTTTACTTACTAATAGCTATTAGTCCGTATACAGCTATTAGTCAGTACACAGAAGTGCTGCATCATTTAAAAGTGACAACCTAAAACCTTTGGACCAGCTGTCTGGTGATAACAGCTTTCTTGTGATGTTTCAGTCCTTTGAGTAATGAATTGATTTAGACCTGTGTACCCATCATCAACAAGTGCTCTGAGTGACGTGTTGAAGTGGATGAGGGGCACCACCTCAAAGTACTGTGAACCTTTTATATATGTTTGTATAATATTGGCCAGATGAAGGCAAGAATAGGCCACATTACTTCTGAATCCTCCCTGATGTGACAAACCTAACTTGTCCACATTACCAGTGAAGTATTCTGCATATACTCAGCAGAATATATTTAAGGCATTTAAGAATTTTACAGATGCAATAATTTGCTTTTCTTTGTTACTTGAACAGGAACCTCACATTGGAGGAGAAGGCATGAAGGGAGCTGGACTGTCACTTGATCAGCTGAAGCTGCTGCAGAGGTTTGATCCAGCTGCTGTGACATTGCAAGGAATGGATATTAATTCTTTGCAAGATTCCAGAGAAGATGACCTGATCTCATTGGCAAATAAGGACTGTATAGGATTTTTCATTGCAAAATTTATTAAATCGAAGAGTAAATAAGGATCTGGGAATGCAACCTGAAAAAAATACCTCAGTGCGTCTAAGAACAGTTCAGACGTGAAGTGCGTTTCTTCCTGCTGCAGTGTTACCAAGCCAACGGACTGACGGCAGGGTTGCTATGGCAGCAGTAAAATCCGCCAGCTGTTCTGATGGGAAAGAGCCACAGGTTGCAGCAAGAAAGTCATGGGTGGGGGAAGGGTAGTGTCATTTTTAAGTCTTCCTTCGCTTTTGTATTTACAGGTCAGTGCCTGAATGACAAGTATGTTCACTCATACTGGTGTTGCTTATGTGGTGCAGCAAGTGTAGGAAGGGGATGTAAGCTACTTCATGAAATGCAAACATTAATAAAATAGATGGGAGCTATTATAATGAATTTTTGAAAAGGAAGTTTCTATGGAGGCTTACTGATAATTAATGTTTCATTAAATAGTGCTTCACAAAACACTGTAACATGTTACAAAGAACTGTTTTATAAATTGATACTTAGAACCTCATTTCTCTTTTATTTTAATACAAGCAAGATTCTCTGTACACATAGTATATACACAAAATACGATTAGGCTTTGTAGCATGTCTTTTATAGCAGCATGAATATATTAAACCATCTCACTCTGGGAATGTAAATAAATATTGTTTCAACATCAAACTTCCCATGCATAAACTGTATTGGTTCTGAAATAGCCTACTGGACTGGCTGACAAGTGACAATTTTAAAACCAAACATTTGCAACAGAAGGGGCTACAGTTGTGATTAATATATTAAAAGACAGAAAACAATGCATAATACCATTTGAAATGTTGCAAATCACCTTTCAAACAACTAAGAATATTAAGTCTTTATTGGTTAGAAAGCATCACCAGCTAAATCATGTGAAAATTGAAACTGGGGAAGCATGCTAATGAGAACTGCCTTAATACATTGCTCAAAGGTTTAATAACGTAAATTTCTTAAAGATGTTAGATGTTTTTGAAAATTCTGCTTCAGTTCCAGTTTGAACAGTATTCTCTTTTCTCAGTCCTGCTGGAACTGACAATAGAACCAAAATTAGAAGGAAAAGTAAGTACAATTCAGAAACGTAAACTGACATCTGTGTGTGTTTGGTTCTTTCCTCTCTCTCATCAATTTCCAGTTTTAAAGACATAATCTGAAAAATGTCTGTCTTTGCACACATAACTATTTGTTTGGATTAAAAAGAGCGATAGTTCTTTTATCATTTGTCTTTCTACTGTCAGAAGTTCATTTGTATTTGCTTGCAATCAAAACAATCTATAGATTTGTTTCTCAGTAGTCTGGTTGTTTACTTATATTTTCTATAAATGTTTTGATACCGTATGTTTCCTACTCTTCTAAAATAATAAAAAAAAAGAAGTTTCTTCTGTTCTACTTACTGCATCCTTTGTAAGTCCTATCCTAGAAGGATGGAAGGATGGAATTCTTGTCTACTACTTCTCTACTTTTGTTGGTCACTCCTTGCCATCAAATCTAAAGGAGATTTAAAATAATTTTGTTTCATCAGTAGTAGGTGAGATATCCAATTTAGAATCATGAAAGTTCATACTATAAATTACAGTCTTTTTAGTCTAAATATGGCTAAAATAATTACCCAGTAAAAAATTGTTAGTACGTGTTGAAATCTTTATCTCAGTGCTAGTAAAAAAGCATTTTCTTATTTGCAGAATATATAAATTTTGTAAACATTAATCAGCACACATAGACTATATACTGAAGTTTGTGTATTCATATAAAGTAAGGAACTTTACCTCCAGTTTCAGTAGCAGGATTTGTGCAATGCAGAATTTGAAAGAACTAAGATTGCTGAATTTTTAGTGGAAGATTTGTTGAGACTTTACCAGATTTCTTTAGTTTTGGATGATAAACAGTCTTTTCAAGAAGGTGACCTCACTTGATCTTATATGAGAAGTTCCTTGGGGGTGAGGAGTGGGAAGAAAAAGTAACTAACTTGTATTTGATTTGAGTGTAAGTGCAGACCAGACTTCACCTGAAAAAAATTACTGATAGATTAACTTATAGGTTTGTTTCTGCAAGAGTCAACTGCTAGACTTAAAAGAGCACTCAGCATATTAAAAGAATAAGCCTCATCTCTTTCCCTGCAGCCGCGCTCTTTGGAGAAAGACTTCTCCGTCATGCAGTTCAGAACAGAAACTCAACTGAGATGCTCCAAATCATACCTTGAAAGAGCCAGCATCCTTTCTCTGACTACAGGTTTGGCTAATTTAGATGACTAAAGTTGGATGGATGCCCTTTTTTTTTTTTTTCTCCTTTTCCAATTTTACTGTGACTTTAACTAGAAGCGACACAGTTCTGATGTATACTGTATATATGTTTTAAATACATAATAGGATTAGTTTCCTATAAGAATCTTTGCACATTGAATAATTATACTTCAGTGATTGGTGCTGAAGCACAGTTGAATATATATATATATATATGCATTTATATATATATGAGATATTTATATAATAAATTTAAAAAGTTATTGTCATTGTAATGAAAGATTAATCCTATAAAATAGATTAGGCATGCAATCAGATCCTGTCTGTAAGAAAGTCTGAAAAGTAGTTCTCTCTATTTGCAGAAATAGTGATTAGTAATAGTGCCAAATCTAAATATTCATCTTGGTCAATATAAAGATACTAAAATAGGCAGCCTCATATATTATGAAATTATTATACAGCTTTTTCCTGTTTCAGTGTTATGGAATGCACCATTTTTTAGATCACAGGATTTCATATGTTTTTTAAGGAAAAGGGAGTATTTTAGTAAAAAATAGGCTGGTGATGGTGATCAACAAGAAATTACTTTGGAGTGGGTAGTTTAAAATATAAAGAACCTTCTTTTTATGTTTGATTGTTCATGACTAAAAACTTTATGAAAAAATCCAATTTTGTACTGCTAGAATTCACTGCAGAGAGGTTAGCATGATAGATAAAAGTGGCAAGAATAAAGTAAGAAATGAGAACATGGATGAGTTAGAAGAACCAGCTTAATCTCTATTATATCTGATATAAATCTTTTTTGGGTCTGCGTAGGAACACATTTCTAGGGTGGTAAGTTATAAAAAGAAACTGTCTATAAAACTACTGTAAGCTCATATGTAACAGTTTGTTATATAAAAGTGGGGAAATAAATTACAGACAAATTGCCAAGCAATAAATTTGATTGAATAACATTTGATTAAAAACATTCACAGTAAAAATGGCATCCGTATTTTACAGATGATAGAAGAACTAAAATTTTGGTGAAAGATCTGCAATAAAGTAATAAATATAAGTAAATGTACACCAGAAATGTTATAATACACTCTGAGAAATAATTTCTCTGTTTTTCCTTTAGACTGTGTAATCAAGTTTCTTGCAATGTGCTTGATTTTCATGGATGGAGAAGAATTTAAGTAAAAAATGCTTGGGAAATAGCTTTCAGCCTGATGTGTTAAAGCAATCAGAGGTCAAATGTAACCACAAACCAAAATAAATCTTGAAGAGTCTGTATTAACTAACAAACACAGAAGGTGGTTTACACCAACTTTTTTACTTTGAACAGACATTCATTAAAAGCAATCAGACCACTCCCTTCATTCCAGCTGAGGGAATCATTGTGGACCCCATTAAAACCTTTGCAGGTGTCACAGAACATGAGCATGACTTTACAAACCAACAGAGCTTAAAAATGATAATTACTAACAAATTCATAAAAGACAGAAAGTATTCAGGGGCAGGGTATAAGACCTGGGCAGGAACTGCATGTATAGGATGAGTAACTAGGTATGCAGGGAGAAGTAAGAATGGGTCTTTACTTTTAATCAGGGTTTGGTGAGTGGAATTTTATTTCCTTATCCTCCATTTATAATAAGGGCTATAGGTTAAGAGTTTACAGATTTCTGTGAAGAGAGGTGCTCCAATGAAACTCTTTGTGGCTTTAAAACTGATCTTCATTAAATAGGTCCAAAACCTTAATTTTATACATTGAGAAGCAAAAATTACAGAACTCTATTCAAATTCTGAACTCCTGATGCCAAACACAGAATATGAATTCATGAGCATTCTAGAAGAATTCTTTAAATTCTAGTCAATAATTTATGGATTGATTTAATAAAAATAGTTTCTTTTAGCTCTTAACTCCTACTGATGCTGCCTCTGTGCACAAAATTGTTTGCTTATTCTTCCCCGCTGTCCTGTCCCTTAGCTGCTCTGGAGACTGTTACTGTCACCTCCTTCCAGTCCCTCCTTGAGAATTCTTTCTTCCATGATGTCTGTGTGACACTAAACAACTGTAAAAATAGACTCAGGCTACTCAGCATGTATATTCACTTGAAAAAAAAAAACAAAAACCCACAAAAATAAGGTTAACATCTAACATATATACATGCAAATTTGGAAATGCATCCCATTCCTTCCATATACTGAAATCCTTTAGAAAAATATAGAGTTAGAGCTGCCAAGACGTACATATCACTTAACTTTTATCTGCCCCCCCTTTCCTTTTGTTTCACTGATGTTATTATATTTCAGCTCATTTGAATATAAATTTTACAGGTTGTTTCGTACCACGCATACATAAGAAGACTCTGGAGCTCACTGGGACCTTTACCATTTCTCAGATTCAAAACCCCTGAAACCAGATACAGAAATATAAACTCATTAGTATCCTAATGCAAACAATAATATTAAACTTTCTATTGGCAAAACTTTGCAAAGACATTTCATCACAATAACCTTTGATATGTTCTCCAGCTGGAGTATATTTAAAGCTTCTTATTGACATAACTCTGTTAAAGTGCTTTTCAAAGTAGTGCTCAGCAGGCAGGTGGTATTGTGCAATATATGTAGTACAAGCTCACATTACAAATGATTTCTCACTCTTAAAACAGTAACTAAAGGAAAGTATCTTAGCAAGGCTAATAAAAACCTATTCAGTGAGTCTTTCTAAGAAATACGTTTTTGTTAGTACGTTGTCTGTACATAATCAGCAGCACTATACAAAACATGATTCTGTGACTAGTTGTATTGGGACTTGTCCTTTTTTGTGATGTTTATACTCCATAAATCAATATATAGGCCATATTTAAATACTAGTGTTTGGACTATGCTCTTTATTTTCTTATATCTATACACGGCTACCTACTCCATAGTTTTTATATACTACTCAGTGCTTTGAAATTCTGACAAATATTCCTTAAAAATACTTTAAGAAAGGTGAAAAATAAATACTCTCTGGAACAAAAGTAAAAAACAAACAAAAAAACCCAACACAAAAAAAAACCCAAACCAAACCAAAAACCCAACATAAAAAGAACAAAATATTCAATGTATTGTAGAGGACACAGCCATCATGAGTTGTAGGGAGCAACAGCGTTTACTGCAGCTGGTAAATTAGCTAAAGCCAGGCAATACAGAGCAAGACAATATAACTTCTCTTCTTACTTACATGTGATCTGATATGATTCAAACAACAAAGTCTTGCAATGTTATTTTTCACAGATACCCTGAAAATTCTCTTTATCAAAAGCCACTGTTTATTTACTCTTATATATCCATTTAGTAATACAACAGATCTACTTACCTATTCTTCCTTGTCTACAAAGTTATTTAGTGATGTTTAGAAAAATGATGAGAATTTTATTTCTAGAAAAATAACCTTTTTTTTGTGTTCCCCATAGTTCATGCTTTGAGCCAAAACCTACCCTTGAATAACCACAAGAGTCAGCAGCACTGGGAGGAATGGCCAGATATCTGACAGCAGAATTTCTTACTCTCAGGTTGTTGTAAAAAATGCTTATAAAGCATCAGGGAGAGGGGTGGAAGAGGGAGAGGAAGGACAGAGTACGTTTAAAGGAGTTAAACTGAATTTACTTGGATGCTGAGATAGGAGATTGGAGAAAACATGCACCTGCCATATATCTTATCCATTTCACTAAAATGATATTCAAAATCAGGCAATGCTGATATTCCCAGAATTTAAATAATAAATAAAAAGAACTTCCAGCTAAATTAATTATTATCACACTACAGTCTTTATATAACGTGCTATTTACAGGGAAATACAAAAAGTATTTCATTCATACAAGTACTACAAAGACTATATGTGATGCAGAACAGCTTTTACACTAGGCAAGGGTATGGAACCTGGAGTCTAAAATAATAGTGAATTTGCCCCCACTTACCAGTGCAACAGGTGTTCAATGCAAAACAAACTGTTCGCTCCCTTTGATTTCAATGCATTTTCTCTAGAAAGCTCCTAACAAAGCATTTTGTCACAGTCATTTTTCTATGCTCTCACCAGCAGCACAACAGCTTAGGTGAAGGAAAAGCAGTGAGCTGGCTGCAGAGTGGGAATGCAGATGAATTGGCAAAAGTGTAGAAAAAGTGGAGAAGCTACAAAAATTTATTTTCCAACAAAATAACTCTCCACAAGCTGTGTAAACTTTTCTTGCAAAAACAAATACTCTAAAACAAAGATTTTACATTTCCAGTGAAACTCACAGTAACATTTGCCTGGTTTTGCTCTCCTGAAGTCTCAACAAAGAGCCAGCAGATTTCTGCTTTCCCAATTACCTGGGTCAGTAAACTCCCTCATATTCCCTGACTGCAATTTGGAATTTTAAATTAACAGACAGAATGAAGAAACAGACTTTTTGGGCTGTTGAGTAACCTTTGTTTTCTTCAGTAGATTCTCACACTTCACTGCCTAACGTGCACACGCACACGTACGCCCATCCACCACCCACCACTCACATACACACCTCCAACATGTGTGCTCTAGTATACTGACAACAGAACAAAAATTCAGCTGTGCCCATTGCAATCTTGTGACCTGAACAGAGAAGAATAATTTATAGTGGTAAGCATTATCTTTACCATAACCTTGAAATGCAAAATTGGGTTTGCAAGGACAGCACAAGGTAAAAGAGTTACACCCTTTATCTCAAGCACTCATCCGTATTTACAATAAGTATAAGCTTTCTGCTACAGAAGAAGAAGTATTTAGATTGAACACTGTTACAGATTTCCTAAGTGAGGCTAGTTCCAGTTGCCAGTAATTCAAAAGCAGATCTGCTGACTTGGCATTAGGACTCTAAAACAGTGTGATCAAACTTATATAGTAAGAAGGTGTCTGCAGAAATAACATTTATAAACTGTATATACAGTACACAGTACCAGTACATAGAAAATAGATTTTGACTCCATGATCCCCTGTGTGTAAGGCAAGACAATTCTGTCTTCATAGGGAGACCACCAGAGGTACAAGCAACAGAGTGGTGCTTAAATCAATATGCAAATCAAGTGCATACAAATTAAAAATCAGAGCAGACAAAAAGTTTTAGATTCTTTTATGTGCTGATCCTGGCTTGCTGAATACACGGGAAGTTATTAAACATCAAATGTACCTTTTTTTTAAAAAAACACTAACAACACCTTGATGGCAACAGATATTGTTCAAGTGGCAGCTACCAAAAACAGCTTGAAAAATGTCATAGTACAACATCAGGAACTCTTCAGTTGTACCACACTAATTCATATAGCACTAACCAAAAAAATAAGTATATGAATATTCTATTTCATGCTATTGCTATGCAAGCAACAGCAATACAAATCAGCATACAGAAGGATACCATATGTTCTGCAATGAAGAACCCAAAGATATTTTCAAGGGGCATTGTTACAAGACTTCAAAGAAACACAAGACTGCCAGAGGCAAAAGTTACTGACGGATGTAAACATCCCTGTTCCATTCTCCCGCATCATTACGTTTTTTCGATATCACTTCCCCATCCTTGTCACAATATTGGTCCCTTGATTTATGACGACTCCGCTGTTTGTTGCATTCATTGTGGTCCTGCTCGCGGTCCCTCTCCTTGGAGCGATGCCTCGATTCTCTGTGTCTGTGATCACTGCTCCCATGGGACTCGTCTCTGTGATTATGATCCCTGTGAGAATCATAGTGGTCACCGTGCTCATGTGAGTAGTCCTCCTTTGGCTCTACATAAGCTGAATCTCTGCTGTCTTGTGTTTCTGAGTCAAAAGTTTCTTGCCTGTGAAGGCCTCTACCACCACTGCGATGGTTGTGGTGTTGGCTTGAGGAAGAGCGGTGCTGGGATTTCTTGATGGGTTCAACCCGTGCTTCCTCTTCAATTTGTGAACCACTGCGTTCAGGGACCGAATGGTCATTCCTCTGGTCTCCTTGAGATCCCTGCTATCAGAACCAGCAGTAAGTTCATGTACATGGGGTACACACTGAAAAACTTTCTCCAATATCAAATTCAACTAGAAAGTATCATGAAACCAATAAAATTTGAGTACACAACAATCCACTTTGAATCTAAACTAGAAAAAAACCCATTAGAATTCAACTTTTACTGAAAATTCAGTATTATAATACAAACAATTCCTTTCAGTCTCATAAGAATGGAGGGTGGTACTTGGGTTATTCTGTGACACTTTCACCTCTCTTGTGATGTTTCTGACTATTCCAGTTAGCAAAAAGTGCCACCACCCTCCAAACAAAAAGAGAGCATGCAGAAACAAGACAAACTGCGGAAAAATTAGAGAGGACGTGTCATGCCAGGAGAGGGCAGATATCAGCTGAGAGTTTACAGATGTCTGCTTGGAAACAGACACTATGGAAAAGTGATTTTAGAGGGCTGAGGAGGTGGATTCCACCAAAGAACCAAAGTACAAAACCTTGGATCTTTAAGAAAAACTTATTTTTTAGGAAAAAAACCCAATTGAATCTGGTATGAATGCAGTTTGTATTATGATACCAATAGTATCACTGACCTTTTGTTTTCTCAGCAATCATTTCATTTCTTCATGATAATGAAAAATTAAACTTTGACCTTATAATTTTTAGAGCGTAAGAATATAGACCATTGCTAAGAAAAGCAGGAGGAGAGTGATATTATCACATACAGAATTTCCTAACACACCACTGCTATTTAAAGACTGAAATAAAAATTACCAGGTAATAAACCTACTCTTCACCCGCATAATGCTTTGAAATCACTGCAAAACGAACAAGTGCCATTATTTAACTCATCTGGGGGTTTCATTACATTAACCTGCTTTTATTGCCAAACCACAGCCAAACACTTTTCAAGCTTAATTGCAACAATTTTAAGAAATAGTTTGTTGAAATTGAATTATCCTTCCCACAAGAGGTGAAGAATGTCAAGACGAAATCATCTCTGCTGGCACAAAATTAAAGTAGGTTATAACAGAGGCATTTGTTTGTGAGACTGCTCTGAATTTACCAAAGTTAGGCTTAGGTTTGCCCTTCTATGTTCAGAGTTGTCTACAAATAAGGATTGCTTCCAGGGAAGTTCATGGACGTATCTTCTTTCTGTCTTGTGGAAAAGAGCTAGAGAATTTTGTCCTTCAGCCACAGATCCTGGCAAGTGGGTTTTCTAGCAACCCAAAAAGTAAAATGACTGTAAATTGGACAGGAAAAAAAAAAATCTGTATTTCTTTAGAAACTTATAAAAAGCAACATATTTCAAATCAGCAATTTGATAAATTTGACAAATTTTAATTTTCTAAGAAAACATTTTGTTCTGTAAACTTCCCAGCGACTAGATGGCTTATTCCATGTGTTCCTAATTTGAAAAATATGGTATAGATGAGAACAAGGTAACAGGAACAGCAGCCAAATTTCTTTTTTGTTCTTGTTTTTATGATTCTCAAGATGATTCTGATTTGCCAGAAAGGAATCTAGTAATTGTAAACATGAATAGATGTGTTCAAGGTGAAATTAAATGACTCAACAGAGGTGAATTGTAAATGAAATCAACTGAAAAGTGAAAGTGCAGTCCCTCTTCAGATGTGTAAACACAATTTTTAACAGTTCATCACCATCACTGTTTTTAAGGCTTATGAACTTGGGATACATATGAAACCCTTTCATTCTCATATGGTCAAATGCCACATATGTATGTACCTGTACATGACCAGGACCAATAAAATTCCTCATTGCTGTGGTTTGAGAACAAATGCAAAATGTGAAGCTGCTTTGAACACAGTGCTACTTTTATAAGCTCAGAGGTATCTTTTCTGCTATGACAAGTACGTGTGAAGGAGCACAAGAAATGAAATTAGACATTTCAGAATAGTGCTAGGGCTGTTGGGTTTTATGGGCAAATTCATTTGCCTATAAATATTATAGGGACACTGAACAGGTAATGTTTGCATCTGGATTAGTCTGGCTTTGTGGTTCATAACCACATTAGGGCTCTGATTTGGATTAGATTCTGCAGTGCCGGAATTTTATGGCTCAGTCTCATACGGCTTTTTGTCTAAAATGGAGAAAGTTTGAGATAAGCCTATTTCATTATTTAGGCTGTTATTTCAAAGAAGTAGGGGTTCTTAAAAGAAAGTTTAAGCATTGCTGAAAGAGGAAAGAAAAGTCTGTGTACACCAAGTGAATTTGCCTTGCTCCCTGTTTCCATGCAGTGGTCCCTGATTGCCTGTACCATGTGTGTGAGCTTGCTCAAGTCTTTTTGGAATTAGCCCACAATTTCCATACAGGTTTGCTCCAAAGCTCTCCATCAGGTGGACAGGAGGTGTATGGTCTTTGCTGATTTAATTCCAAACAGTTCCAGGAGGCCTCACACCTTCAAGCACCTTGTGCCGTGCAGCACAGTCAGGATCATTCTATAAAAACACAACTCGCTGTTGCAGCTGGCAACACAAATCCCTCCTTACAATGCACACCCAGGACTGAAAAATCATGAAAAACAAGTATGTTTCATGGCAAAGGGGCACTGCACTGGACCCGGGGGAGGATGACTCCAATGCTTTGCGGTGCAGATGTTGCTCCTCCAGGCCAAACAGCTGGTGGCTTGGCTTTTCCCGGCAGAGCAGTCCACAAAAACAGCACAGGCAGAGACTTTAAATTCTCTAAATAGAGGGTCTTAACACTGTTGAGAGAGTGGGTTATGCCACCATGATAAGGAAGTAAACCCACTCTGTGCCAAGGCAGTGACAGGTTCAGGTTTGAGATGTCAGCTGAAAGTGTATCATAGGAAAATGAAACCAAAAGAATGTAAAAGTTTTGTGTTCCAGAAGGGAGCCCCGTGGATTCACACTTCCGTATTAGTAGACCTACAAACAAACTGTGACACTGCAAATACACTCTCATTTTCAGTCCTTAAAATAAAAATCTGTTAGTTTGTAAGGAGATAGCACAACATTCAGAAAAGTGTTATTAAAACTCTTGTAACAGTTCCTCCAGAGAACGTGGTTAATAAAATGAGTAAGTGAACTATAAATCCACACCCAAAAGGCATAAAAAAACTTGAGCAAAATAATTAAAAAATCTACAAAGCAAAAAAAAAGTTTATCTAGCAAGTCTGCACACAATAAAACTGAATTTCATACTCAGAAATTCTTCCAGCTCACAATTTTTTCAGGGGTTTCAGCTCTGAGGACAGAAAAAAAGTCAGAAATGAACTATAGCTTACAGTCTCTTTTCCTGCAACTGCTTTTGAAAGCAAGAGGAGATAACCCTGCGAGGTGGCTAGAGAAATTTTTCTTGTTAAAGAACAAAACTGTCAAGTCTGTGACTTTCTAATGGGAAATAAATTCTTTGACACAAAAAATGGTTTTGCAAGACCATAACAAAAAGCCCCACAATTTTTTTTGTATTTTAATTGGGGTGTAGATAGATTTCTTTCTTTGATTTTCTAAAAGGAGGCATTTTTCTTAGCCAAAGTTATGAATTGCAACTTGCGTATGTTTGTAACTTACAGGCATATATGGAACTCAGGTAGAAATTTAGATGTAGAAAGCCACTATTTGATCTGGGACAGATGTATTTTAACCCCCACTGTGATCTTCTCAGCTTCAAGGCGACACTCACTATTTATAATTAAGTATCATCTTTAAAGACCTCATTTCATGCCATGCAACAAATATCCAAAGGACAGCATCTCCTTATGCTGAGCACCTTAATATAATTATACAAACCAAAAGTTGAAAGAGAATAGAGGGGACATAATATGCCCATATCAACAGGCACATCAGTGCGGAGATGGGAATAATGCCTGTTTTTCCCAGCTCACCAGATAGTGTCCTCACTGCTCAGAACATATTGCCTCTCAAGGTCTTTCTGCACAACATGTGCAGCAGGACTCGAGTTTTATGTCAGAGTTTGGCTTGAAGGAAATATGTACTTTTCACAGCAGTGGCCAATGAATAAAAGAACAAAGGAAACACTGGAAGCGTCACTTTGACCTTGACACTACTAATAGTCAGTTATTCTCAACCTCTACAACTCTATAGCCTATGGGAAGATTGCAACAGATTTCCCTCCAAAATTTGTGGATCTGCTCTGTACATAACCCAATTTGTCATGCAGGGCCTCTGGGTCTGGGATTTGCCTATTAGCAATAGTCTGCCCATCAGTCAAAGAGTTACCAGAGGGTGTAATGTGCACAGTATTAGCCCATTTTTATTTCTCTGATTGGATTACATATGGCCAGCTATAAAAATGCTTGTGGCTGGTACACATATTACTGGCACAGCGGTGTCCTGGGCACAATAAAACCTGAAGTATTCCACTTCACATCAACATATGTTTTCAGTCAGGCTGGCTAAGTCCTTGGAATCAAAACCAGCCCCCTAGTCAGTACACAAACACATGCTACTATGAATACAATAGCAATAACAACAGCGTGCCTGTGTTTGCCTTTTATATTGAAAATGATTGAATGTCCACTGAAAAAGCTCTTACTCTACCAACAACAGTGAAACATATCCAGCATATTCTAGTATCAGCTAACCACTGTGCTTTGGGAGAGGAAGAACTTGACAGGAAAAAAGAAGAGATAACATAAAAACTTTACCTGTAAATTAATATTTGGACCTGGGCTAATAGGAAGAGTGGCTGTTGCAAGTGTGCGAGTGAGAAGCTGGTTAGGAGGATTGCTGCTAGGTGGATGTGTAGCCTTCCAGTAGGCTTCCAGATAGTCAGCAAGGTGCTCACAAGCATCTTCAAGCTGGTTCTCATCAAGAATTACATCGAACATTTCCTGATAAAGGAAAAGTTTTAGTGAGAAAAATCACTAGCTAAAGGGAGATCAGCCAGAGACAATGATCACACTTTCCATTCATCAAAAATGAACCACATTTCTAGTACCTGTATTAGGATATTTTACCCTTTTTGTTTGCTGCTGTTGTTGTTGTTTGGTTTTTTTGTTTGTTTTTTTTTTTTTCTGAATGCAACTGATACAAAAGACAATGATCATAACTAGCAATAATGTTGCTTAAACAAGTCCTCATGACTTCCACTTACTAATGCACAAACAAAGTCAATGAAGACATGAAGAAGCAGTTTAAACAAATCTTAAAACTCAAATATGCAGAAAGAAGTGTTAAATATTGAAGTATTTAGCTACAGGAAAAAAAAATCGAATGGCAAGAAAAGGGATTCACTCCCCATATCTAGAATAACAAAGAGAACATGAAGGCAAACTAAGACCAATAACTAACACAAGTAAGAAACACAAGTAATACAGATACTTCAGTTTCCAAGTGTTGTACAAACACTGGTTAAGAGATTAGTCACATGGTGTAATTTTAGGCTTCTAAAGTTAGGAAGTGAGTTTCCTCCATTTCCTCCCTGTTCAGGGAGCCAGAAGGCATCTTTGAGGGCCTATGCAGGTCTCTGTGAAGGTCACTGAACAACCTTCAGCTTCTGGTCTCTTACCCATACTCTTTTAACAGCTGAGTATGCCAGTAGCAATGCATGCCATGTTTAAAACACAGTTGGGGTCTCATCACCTCTGCTTTATGGTGGAAATTAAGAGAATTTACTTCAGTGCACATCATGAGAAGAATCGCAGAGTTCTCAGGTACCCCTCAGCTCTTTGCCAAAACTGTGACCAAGAATATCAATAGCGGTGGCTGTTGTGATATACACCCGAAGGGAGCTACTGAAAACATTGGCCTTATCCTAAGCTACCATAGATAAAGCAGTCACTAAGAGGGTTCATTTTCAGACCAAAAAAACCCTAAAATTATCAAGTAAAACAAATGTTCAGTTTATTGAAGCACCGGGTGTATCAGCACACATCCTAATAAGTGCTTGTGACTAGGACTTTTTTCTCCCCTGCACCGTTGTGATGAGCCCAGAGACCTCAGGAGGCATTCCACAAAAAGCAGTAGTGAAGTCCGGCCAGAAGAGGGCAAACATTCCCGAAAATTATGTAATTAACCTCATACTTGAAAAGAAAGGCACCTTTCAAAGACAAGGCATAAATTAACAGTAACTCACGGGAGGACACTGTGCCAGTTTATCAGCTGCCACCATCTGAACATTAAGGTGTTTGGCCTGAGATTTCCCTCGAGATTTTATCAACCTCTGTAAAACCTGTGAAAAGTAAGAGATTAATAAAAGTGACCAACTGCAGACTTCATGTACATATATAACCACTTAAAATGTTTACATTTTAAACTGCTCACTTGAACAGAGCAAATTCTTAATTTGCTGGCTTCAGGAACATTTCCCATGCTCTTTAATCCAAAATGAGCTAATTTTTGTTTACTTCCCACCATCTTTTTGTTACAGTCACTAAAAAGTTCCCCTCCTACTTTGCTTTGCTGCTTCTATTATGTTTTTATAGTTGAATTTTTTTAATTGATCTCCTGAGTTCTCTTCCCACAAATTCATTCTTCTCTTTCAAATGCCTCTTCACAAGGTCTGTGCATAGTTTTTCCAAGGAATGAAAGAGTATACTATCAGAAGATGTTAAAGTTAGCAATCATATGAAAATGTTTCTTTAATTTCTGTATTATTTTGATTCAACAAACCATTAGTATTACTTAACGTGATTGATACTAGAAGTGCAATCCCAATTAAAAAACCCATTGGAGCTACAGCATCTTTTCTAAAATGGGTCTTGATAACATTAGAGCTGAGATACTTTCTTGATTAATAATACTTCACCATGCAAAAGGAAGCAATAACAATATATAGCCTCTGAACTTGAGTGAAGACACATGATTATCTGAACTTAAGACCAAAAAAAAAAAAAAAAAAAAAAGGACAAAGAGCATGAAGGTGACTACAATACTTACTTTAGGAGAAGAAATCTTTACATATACTATAATGGGAGCCAGAGAGGTTTTGCTTAGTTGAGCTGGGTGGTTAATGGTATCAGCATCAAGCACTACTAACTGCAGTGTCCTTGCTAATTCAAAAATCCGTTCAATTTCACTTTGAACTTCAGCTGAGGAGAAATAGAAAATTAGAGTTATGAAAATACTAAGAGGTGATTTGTTTTAAAAAATGTAAAAATGTTGTAGACTGGTGTGTTGCTCCTCCTCTGGTTGCAGGAGTTGTTATCCGTGCATGTCCCTGGCACGCTACAGTAATGAATGCAACATTATTGTGAGCATTTCAGCCCCGATTTGCTGCCTTTGCAGGTAGCACTGCCTGCCTCTTTCACCTCACTGATTCCCGCCATTCCAGACTGGAGACATACTGTTAACACCTTCTAACAAAACCCCAGACCATGAACGTAAGAAAAAAAGAAGTATGAATGCCTGCTGCATCAAACAGTAATCTTACTATGCCACAAATTTTCTATATGTAAATAATTTTGGCTCAGACTTTAATCTTATGCAGTAACCAGTTTGCTCAAAGTGGAAGTACTGAATTATATTAGCAGAATCTCATGTTTTTCCATTTACTTCAACTTATCAAAGCTCTGGAAAACAGTTTCCTTCATATACTGGCCTCAGTATGATACCATGTAAAAATTTTGATTATTATGTGTAAAACACTTTTTTTAGGAGAAATAACTCAGTAATCCAAATAATGCTATGGTATCTTCCTCACAACCCCAGAAGATCTGGAAAGGTGATTTTCCCAGAGAAAAATCACCTCTTCTTCTGGTAGTCAAGTTCCCAGCTCCTCAGCACCCTGCCTGATCGGCAGTACTTTCCAGGGCAAACCTCTCCAAGACAGATGGGCTGCATCCGCTTTCACAAGTGGTGTAGAAACTGTATTCATTCCCCAATGAAACAAAACTGAATCTTGTAATAGCAAAATCAGCCTTGAAATGGAATCACATTTTGCTGCTCAAATCTTGCTATAGGCTGAGAAATTACAGAAGCTGGGTGACTTATGCAAGTCTGCAAAGAAAGTCATCAGGCAGACTGGACACTAATTCATATAGGTTTCCCTTTAAAGGCTGTGCACACTCCATGAACCATGGTCAATAAAAGGTACCAAAAACTTAATAGAGAGTTTCTTGAAATTACACTATCAGCCTTTTATCTATTTTACTGGCAAAAGCTTTACTTTTGCTTGGAAATACAACCTGTGTGATCTGGCTAGAGAGAGTCTCTTTCAAGAGATGTGAAGAGATTGATTTTTGATATCTTAGAATAGCAACTGAATAAACGGGTACCATAACAAGGCTGCAAAATTTCCAAGAGACAGCAAGGCATTCCAGCTAGTTCAGCTCAGTGTTTTGGTTCCAGATCAATAGGTGATTGCTATGTCATTTTATAAATGAAGTAACATCTAAATGGTCATCAGAAAATCTATATATGATATCCTTTATTGGAGGAGGCTAAAAATGTATTGGATCTACTAGAGGTCACTTGCAAATGTTTGCAGTCATCTCCAGTTTGGGGGAGTACATGCCAATCAGTTGTTTACAACAGCAAATACTGTGAGATGTGCATGGCGTGGTATGGAAAGCATTGGTGCATGCTTTCCTGCTGGTCAATGAAAACACTGTGACCCAGCTGCTGTCTGAATTAGGACCACATTTTTAAGGCAGAACTGATGGTCTTGGCACATTCACAATTACATTTCCTGCAATTTTGCTATGTAGAGATACTGCTGAAATCACTGAACATCATTGTCTCAGTTTTAGTAGAAGATAGTCAATAATCTATCCCTCATATAAGTCCAAATGACAACTAGAATAAACATATCAGAGATAACCTGTCATGCTGTTCTGATGATGAGTTTGGACTGCTTTCCTGCAATTTCAAACCAGGCTCAACACTTCAGCCAGTATAACAATATCAGTTAATGTATCATTTTAAGACCATTCCAGACTGCTAAAAAAACCTCGTTCAAGACAATTTATAATCAGCAAAATCTGCCTCTATGCCATTGTATCGTAATTTTTTCTGGGGTAGCAGTATTTGCTACACTGCTGGAAGCACTTTTCTGCCACTATAGAACACATCTCTATGGATCAGATTTCCTGCTACACCTTTTGAATCACCCTTTGCCAGAATATGCCTCAGGGTATGTTCTATTGTGAAACATACCTGGGGCAATATCTGCAGGTAACTATGGCTCTACAAACCATTAGTTTCCACTTGAATCCCCAGATGGAGAGGAATCTTTTCGATCAACTAAAAAGTATTTCAGTACGTATTTTTCTAAACTTGAGTGTAGGAGAGAAGGTCAAGGAACTATACTGCGTGATTGGTGAACTGATATATGTGCCTCTGCTTCTCCAGTCAAGAATGGATGGGAAAAATGCCAGAGATTGATGAAGAGGACCCTATCTCCTGTTCCTTAGAGTACTTCTTCAGCATCTGGAAAAACTTTCATTTAACTTGAAATCTTCTTTGAATTCTAACTTTACACATAAGATCGTGCCAATTACTTACATAATAGTAGCTTCTCTTTTTAGATGACAAAGGCTTTATCCACTGCTACAGCTTTGGTTTTCATCTTTCTTTAGCAACACCTCTCAAAAACCTAATTCTATACCCATAGATTCCTTCACAACAAGACACTCCCCACAAATCTTCTCTCAGACTTTTGCCCAAAGTAAGCAAAGAACTTGAAATGTCATCTGGGGATAGTAACACAAATGTCACTGTAGTTAAAATAGGGAGCTGAGAACAGTGACAGAGGGGTATCTTCAAAGTAGCACAGTAATAGCTTTGCAATCTTTCCACCTCCATGAATACTGTCTATTTAGAATAATGTCCCTTCTTATGTACTGGAGAGGCATAGCTGGGGTGAACTTATAACATTAAACTCCAATAAATTGTATTTGCCAATCATGAGAGGCATAAAAATAATTAGATCTACTGTGACAATTGTCACGAAATGCTGGCAGCCCAGCTACAACACACAAACCCAGAAATTAGCTATAAAATTTTAAAGTCACCCTTACAATCTATTTCATATGGCCTCCTTAGTAACCAGAAAGCAAACATATTTTAAATGACAGGAGCATGTAACTATTTATTCCATAAAACTCTAAGAAACAGAAAGTACACATCTCCTAGACAACTTTAAATATAGCACATTTAAACTTTCTTCCAAATACTGCACCTTGAAATGAACAGAAATTCAGTGCAATGAGAGCACTAGTAAAGGGCTTATCCCATTATGGGGGCAGACAAATATTCTTTATACCAGGTGAGCCTTGTAAGTGAATTTCAAGAAAAAGTCTTTAACAGTTCATTACAATAATCTCACTAAAGTAAAGGCAAAGACACAACAACCCTGCATTTTATCTGTGTCAATTCGCTAATAACATGGTGAACTACAGTGGAATTTAGGGTCACTTATATAATGCCATGGTAAAAGAACATTCTCTATGCTACACAGTTGGAGAAACACAACCCTCCTTCAAACTTGGGCTGAAAGCATCCATAGCAGCCAGGAGTCATTGGGACACTCAGCTTGACAGAGCAGTGGCTACGTCAGCACTTTGTTTTAGGAAGACCCCGATGAGATGGCAGTTTCATGGCAGGGATGAGATGCAAAATGGACATGCTTCTGGCCTGCAAAGGCCAAGTTAGAACCACAAAATATTGCTAAAAACAGCAAAGAGATTTTGATCTTCACAAGGAGTAGTGAGGTTCACAAAATGTCATCTGTGCACAGTATGACTTTTATATCCTATTTAATTTGACCTTGGCTACTGTCTATGGTATTAGTGTCTCTGTTTTGTTCACAGAAACAGATATGTAAATTATCACTTGGGCTGCAACAGCCACAGAGGCAAAGCATTCTAGTTTTTTGAACAGGGCTCCTGATACTAAAAATATATGGCATGAAAATAACACACCTAAGTCAATAAAATGCCATATAAAATGATCTGCAGCACCTTGCACAAAGGGCTTTCAAATAAGTTTGTAAATTAAGGAGAACAGCATAAGTAGTCATGATTTTTCTTATACTAAGTCTTTTATACAAACATAGTTGCTTGAAAATAATTAATTACTAAATTCCATGAATATAATTAGAGTAATGAGAAGTTTAAGACAACCTCACGAATTCCACAACCAAGGCCAAAGAAACAAATGTGGTTTTTATTCCCAGTGCCTTAAAAGCATGTAGATTGTCTTGCACCAAAAAAAAAAAAAAATGCTGAGAAATGAATAAAGGTCATATCTGAAATCCAAGAAAATGAAAATTAAAAAATAAAAAAAGAAGCTATGACTTTTGAACTGGGCCCACATAAGACTCAATTAAAAAGAAAATCATGAGTTTGACTGACAGAATTAAAATTTTAAATTTTAATTTGTGAGCATGTGCGTGTATACACATTTATATTGAGTGAAAAATCACAAGAGTGTCTACATTAGGTATTGCTGTAATCAGAATGTAGGTACCTGGCCACAGCAGGCTACCCTGGAGTGCACCAGGTATTTGTGCTCGTTGTATACAAAGCGAGGAGGCCAAGGTGCTACCAAGGATAATCCAGTAAACTGTATGGTGTCTGAGCAGACCAGAGCAAGCTAATAAGAAAGCCCACATGTACATCAGTGTTTGGCCTCTTCCTTCTCATCTTCCTCTTTGCTCCCTTCAAGCACCCTGCTGCTCTGGGCAGGCAGAGAGCTAACTGAGAGGTCATGCTGAGTAGAGGACAGAGGGTTTCACTCCTTCCCCAGCTAGAGAGGTTCAGTCCCACAGTCTCCAGGCAGGACTGTGTCCCACTCACTCCACACCGAGGGGGTGTCCCAGTGCTGGAGAGCAGAAGGCTGCAGCCTCCACTGCGGTGTACCCAGCTAAGAAGGAAAAAGTCTTGGAAAATATAAGCAAATAAGAAGGAATAAATGCTTTAGCTTAGTCCTTAGGCAATTGGTCAAAAAATACCTGGATCACAGGTGTTTTAATCAAATTTCTAACACAAATGTAGTTTAGTGAATATACTTACATTTCCCTGATCTCCACCAAATACCTTAGCCACTAGCTTGTTACGTAAAAAGGGGAGGGTGAGAGTGGGAGGATGAC